CGACGCAACGCTATTCAAACAGCCCACCATCACCAGATGATGGGATAACAAAATATATTAGAATCTTGATGGCATCACTACAGAGCTTATAAATGACCAAGTTTAATGCAAACCTAAGGACCCTTGTCCAAGAAGCAACTTCAGTGTAATTGAAGACAAGAAGAAACAATGGCTAACTTGATGAATACTATATCTTATTCCGATATTGCTTTGAAAAATACAGCTTACAGATCATTTAGGTCGACACAAATCTCGCACGCAGATGCATTTAACATTATATATTTGTTAACGATTATGTTCTCTTATTTACATCTATCTGTTTCATAAGTTATGTTGGTTCTCCTTGGCCTGCTAATCGTCGGTATAGTACTATGGAGGACTGGGAAGCTCAACCGCTATAAGGAATCCATCTATGGTCATATACAGAGACGTACAACCAGACGTCGGCGGCCAAACACCTACTCAAGCTCGAAAGATGCCGACAAGCATCAGGAACGGAAGTCCTTTGCGGTAATCGATCGCTACAATTTAATTTCAAGGTGGTCTGGTTTTCGCTATTGTTGAGAATGGAATTAAACCATGAAAACATACACTTTGAAAATAACCATATTTTGGTTCAAAAGTTTTCTATTTCAATCTTTTGGAAAAACTACACTAAATTGTGCCATGGAAAAATCTCTACAACATACATGTAGAGGCAGTATAGCCACAAAGACAAAAAACAAATTAGTATTTTTAAGATTATTGTATGAATATATCATTTAACGATTGATTTATCAAATTCGTTTAAATTGCACGTCTTGTTTACTCTTGTAACTTGTTTAAATAAGTTTTGTTATGTATTTTGTTTTATTCTGAAATTGTATCAAATTTCTCAAACACGCCGTGGTTGTCGAAACAGGTATATTTAGGTGTCATGCACATGCACAGAATACTTGTAATATGTTAATGTATATTTCACAGACATCTCTAAATATGTTCATCAAATTCATTCAGAAGAAGAGATCAATGCCTACCATATACAAAAGTGTTAACAACTATTACGGCTTTTTTCAATTTTACATAAAGCCTTGATATTCTTTTAAAATAGCAAATCACTAAATTCGGTTTCCAATAGAACGTAGTATATTCGGATGTTGGTGACGAAGATGTATACATGTATGGACAAATGGTATTTAACGAGAACCAATCCTGGGAGGTACAGTACGATCAAGTGTCCTTAGATGATAAAATTACTACAGGAAAGTTTGCCGACATCTTTAAGGCTTCGCAAAATTGCAAGAGGAACAACAGAAAAGTCGTCGTAGCGAAGGTGTTAAAAGGTAGGTTATAATTATCCACCGTAATATTTGACATGTGATGACACATCAGCTATTGTGTTTCTGTCTGAGCTGAAAATTAATAACATATCACAATCAATTGTCTATTTACAAACTGGCGTATACGGCATAATATTCAAAAATAAAATAAAAAGTGAGATATTGTGAAATATACTTAATAAAATCAGAAGGGAAAAACGTGTTACCTACAATATGTACAAAGCATTTGGAACAGAATTTCTTGCCTCTCCAGCAAGTAAGACTGACTGTTAACACACTATACATGTAGTATGTGTACAGTAAGTGTATCTTTCCTTTATATTAAAAGCATTGCCTACGAAAGAGTTCATTAGGGTGGTGTTACCTATTTCATTGATCACTTGCAGGCTTATTGAGTAACCAGTTATGTTTCAGAGCCACATTCCGAATTAGATGAGCTGGTAATGACCGCCAAGATCAACTTCTTTGCAACTAAAGTCGGATCACATAGCAACGTTATACAATTCGTTGGGGCTGTCCTTGACAACAAACCACGTACGTTTTCGTGAAATATAATTTGGAATGTCACTATGTGAGCAAATTGATGCAAAGTATGCCAAATAATGCAATAAGTCTGAACATACCACACAAATAAAAACAGAATTGTTAAAAGGATTACCTATTTCACGAAAGGTTAGCATTGATCAAGTTGGTGCATTCCCTATTCGTGTTGGTACACAAACGGTTCTGTTAGTGTGATTAGGGTTGGAGTTGCGGCAAAACCCTCTTTCCGGCGACTCGGTAAACACCGCTAAACCAGTAAGACCATATTGGATCCACTAGGCACAAATGCGAAGGTGTATAATGCTTTTTCTAGTAGTAACAGGAAACAACGTGTGCCCTGTCAACAGAATGAAGGGTATTCGGTCGTTTATTGTAGCAATGTAAAGAGATAGAGAGACAATCGTTTACCAGCAAAGAATCAATTGCCGCTTCGTCACATTCGTTATATCATTGAATCTATTAAAGCGTTTTAAGAATCAACTTAAACTAAATGATACAACCCAGACACTTCATTAAAATGTTATTGAATACATGTAACATCAGTTCTCCTTTGATCAGTGGGTCCAATCATGCTAACGGAGCTTTGTGAGACAGGCGTGATGAGGACGTGGTTACAGAATCAACGGACGAATGTAACCGAGAGTGTCATAGACACCTTGTACCGTATGTCGTTTGATATATCCAAAGGAATGGAGTTCCTGGCCTCCAAACAGGTACAACTTTCATGCAAAGCATGTGTGAAATTGTGGATGAAAAACTGTAGCCGTATCAGTTATCTTAACACAGAGAAGTATCTACAGCGCAACTCAGATGCTAATTGAAGCTTTATTTCTTCCACACTAGTATCTAGGGATTTATAATGAACACAATATAAGTTAACCGAGTTTTAAAAATCAGCTGTAAATATCGAACATACTAATAAGATCAAAATCCTTTTTAGCCAGTCACAACCCAAATTTTGAAAGGACAAGTCTTTAAGAATCTTTAATGTGACTTTTTTTCAGATTATACATCGCCATCTTGCTGCCAGGAATATTCTTCTGACGTCATCACTTGAAGCGAAAGTCGCTGGATTTGGACCTACGCCAGAGACCGAAAAACAGGATGGTGACACCGGAAAGGTCGGTAACATTTCTTCATACTTTGCTTAACAAACTCGGAATTACTTTGCACTTATTTAGACCAAATTAAAGTATAATGTGGAGGAGAAAGCGGGTTTACGATATGAATTTTATGATATATGAAGATATTTGTTTATAAAAAGTACTCAAATTGTGCTTCAATTCACGTAAATTCTTTGAGTTTGTATGGGTTTCACATATCTAAGTCACTTCCGATTGCATGTTATCTATGTGGTGTAGGAAAAAGTACCCATCAAGTGGATGGCTCCAGAATGCATGACGTCATTGAAAGATGCGACAATGCCGAGTGATGTGTGGTCCTATGGCATCGTGATATGGGAAATATTCAGCATGGGTATGTTCATCCATAAGATAATGAAATGGTATCTTCGTAACTGCTTTAGAACTACAACTTGTTGGATTGATTACCTTTAAACCGGGCGACAGCTGCATTTGCTAGAACTGGTAACATACAATTGAATTCTATAATCACAGTACGTATACATGTCATAATACAAGCGTTTGCAGTACAATCAGTAGACCAAAAAAATTCTATTATATGTAAACATTATTTATTTTATACTGATTGCGAAATTATTTATAGGGCGCGAGGGGGTCTTACTGTGGAAAGTAACCAGAATACCCGGGGAAAGCCCATGTAGTCGGAAGGTCACCCCTACTTTTTCCCGGCCGTTCCGGGAATCGAACACCAGATGGCTAGATGAACGGAGAGTGCGTTACAACTGCGCAATCCGACCTCTAAAAAATTTATGTTACATACATTTCATTTTTTTAAAATTCTTCAGCATGTGAAAAATATGTATGTGCTAACTCAGTTACTTCACATGAGTACAGTATAATGAATGGCTGCGTATGTTAAAATCTCAGGTGAAACACCGTACCCAGGAATGCGGAGTATGGACGTAGCAACAAAAGTTACAAACGGATATCGTATGAGTCGTCCTGAGCATTGTGCTGACATGTAAGTCATTGTTACTCAAAACCTTGCAAAGTAACGAAAATTTACAAGAACGTAAATTCATAAATAGTCCATATGCTGTTTTAAGAATACAGTATGTAGTATTGGTTAGATAACTCATATTTATATTGTGCATGTTGAATTGTCCTATTTGCACTTCATATGGTATTCCTGAAGTGTGATGCACACTTTCCATGTAAAAAGCGAATTAACCGATGTCATTGTGACTAGCATTACCTATAATCAGTCTTATCTCCACATATAAGCTTTTTCAGTACTTAGGTATATGAAAGTCTGAAGTTACCATTATATTTGCTGTGTAATAACTTTCGATATGGATCTCTGTTATAACTTTATACGTGTAGAAGTGGATAAAGCATGTTGTTGCTTAATAATCATTCATCCTTAACAGGCATTATGAGTTAATGAAGAAGTGCTGGCAGGATAAACAGTCAAAGCGACCAAAATTCTCGGCCATCGTACAAGAGATCAGCAGCACCTTCAGCTCGAGCCAAGACGATTACTATTACTATGCTAATCAGTGACAACAGAGGGCGACATCCACAGTTCTTGTTAGGTCACACAGTGACCAGTATCAGTGGCTACAGTGCCTTTGTGATGCAGCTTTCAACATCACCAATGTTAAATAAACATCTGAGTAATCTAATGTAGAACACCAATGTAAAGAGTATAAAATAATTCCTTGATATAAACTAATACATACATTTTTGTGCATTTTTAACAGAATCTGTGAGAATACTTACATTATACTGAATGATTCAAGGAAATGTACAATGTAGAAAGTTTCAACATCTGATCAAAATATACATTTTCTTGAACAGACTTAATGACCGTTATTTTCCAAATGGAAATAAGCCTTGATTCGTTGATGTATGATTACCAAACAGCTGGTAAAAAAACTGACAAGTTATCCAAAGTTTGTAACGAATCCCACTTATACCGTGCAGGTATTTGAATATAATGTCTTGTCTGGATGGCTTACAATGACCCATATTAACAAAATAATTTAATATAATCTTATTTCAGATAGGTTTATTGCACATATAAAAAGTACAAATGGGACTGCCCAACACGCATACAACATTCAGGTCTTCTCACAATGTTAAGATCTACAGATCATACAAACATTACAACTAAATCACAATTCATCTTGCAATAAGGCACTTTTGTACAAATCGGTTTCTCCAAATGTTTACACACACTTTGCATCTTCAGAATAGCTCTTCAGGATCCTCTATCGCTTTCATTCGGATTTCCCTTCTCTGCTTCACGTACATCACACAGCTTTGTTTGAATCTATGCAATGTCCCATATACGACAGTGTATACATTTTAACACATGACACCCTGTACTTAAGTTCATTATGTGTTGTCTTCTGATTGCATGTCATCCTTTTCCACGGTAAACATTGTACACTGTTTCCCGTCTGTATTTTTTGTACATCTGATTTACAATCGAGATTGTGTTTCCTAGAAAATGAAAAAAAATATACACACTCATATAAATACACTGCCTTCAAATTATGGGTAAAATCGTTTCTATAACGCAGGAATAGTTTAGACATAAGAAATGTTTCGTTTAGAAAATCAAATCAAAGTTTTGAACAGTATGTAAGTTTGATAGGAATCTTTTTGCAATTCAAATGACACATACTGTGTTACCAGTTTGGAATAATGATTGTTCTATGGTCAGTTCTACAAACGATACAAACTTAGTGTTTTAAGCCAATATATCTCCAGTTATTTAATAAAACTTTTCTTACCTGATGGAACTGTCGGAAAAGTATGTGTATCTGTAGAAAAGGGAAGCTCTATGGTGTTGAAAACTTTGTCATTAAAATCACTTTGATTGAATGCTGTTTCCTGTGAAAAAATATGAAATGTTACTCATAGTGAACAGCTTTCATTTTAAAAATATTGTGACCACCTTAAAACCTAATCATCTAATTATACCATATTTAAATTCTCAACTGATATTAGAAGGTGATATCGTCTTGAATGTCTTTTCTTACAATTTTCCAAACTTTATACAGGAAAAATGCATCTTTGAAAACACTATCTATATTCTCGGGCAAAACGCATTCTTGTAAGAATGCCCCATTTTTTTCTGACAATGATTTTTTTTGTAAGAGTGACACAGTTCAGAATACACACATGTACTTGACATTCTTTTGAAATTATCAAATATATGTAAATTTTGAAATTTATTACATAGCCGGACCATAGCAACTCTACAATGTTTTCTGTAATCGTCCTTAAGGTTTCAAAATATAGGCCCTTAGCATCGCTAACAGCTGTATGTTGCCGTTTAATTCAACACTTGGTTCTATGGTCTCTAAATCTTCGTTTCCATTGAAAGGTGATATTCACTTATATGTCTTTTGTACAATTTTCAATCACTATGCAAAAATTATTGAGCAATCTAGTTTCCAGGGTTCCTTAGTAAATGGAATTGATTACTAGTTTAATAGTTTCTTTGAAATCCATCAAAGACCTTTAATAATTCTATAAACCACCAAATGATCCATTCATATAACAATCTACACTGAATTTCCATCTAAACAGAAATAAAAACATTGGTTTGAAACTTACCGTATGTATACTACGCTTTAAATCCTCCACGAAAACCTTCCACCTCGGTCTGTAGTAGCTGGGTATGAAAACATCTATATTATAGGGAGTTGTAGCTATAGGGATGGACAAATATAAAAGAAAGCAGAAGCCATTGGAGGGACACATTTATATTATAGTGAGTGTGAACTGAGGGAGGGACACATCTATATTATAGCGAGTGTGAACTGGGGGAGGGACACATCTATATTATAGCGAGTGTGAACTGAGGGAGGGACACATCTATATTATAGCGAGTGTGAACTGAGGGAGGGACACATCTATATTATAGCGAGTGTGAACTGGGGGAGGGACACATCTATATTATAGTGAGTGTGAACTGGGGGAGGGACACATCTATATTATGGCGAGTGTGAACTGGGGGAGGGACACATCTATATTATGGCGAGTGTGAACTGGGGGAGGGACACATCTATGTTATAGTGAGTGTGAACTGGGGGAGGGACACATCTATATTATAGCAAGTATGAACTGGGGGAGGGACACATGTATATTATAGCGAGTGTGAACTTGGGGAGGGACACATCTATATTATAGTGATTAGTGGCTATGCATGGACACATGTATATTATAGTGAGTGTGAACTGAGGGAGGGACACATCTATATTATAGTGAGTGTGAAATGGGGGAGGGACACATTTATATTATAGTGAGTGTGAACTGAGGGAGGGACACATCTATATTATAGCCAGTAGGATAGGGGAGATAATCTTCTGCTTTACAGACTACATCGGCTATGTAAGTCATGGTCGATCCAAATCATCAGTCAAATTCTCATAGAAGATTACCGTTAAAAACACCAACACTACACATTGGCATCGAACATATCTAACTCCATAACATACGAGGATATCGAATTTCTCCAAATTGTTTTATGAGCTTATTAGACAATTAGAGTATCCAATATGATGAACATAGCTTCTCATTCAAGATTCCATTCATAGAAAGAGATCATGCTTTTTCTGTAAATAATTAAAAAAAAGAATGTTTTTCCATATGGTCTTTTAAATCTGCATGTATTTGCTAGCATCAGTGTTAATCAGGTTTAAATAACTTACCTATGCATAAGTCCAGCCCATTGTTTGCTGGCATAATCCAAATGCTGGAAAATTAAATCAACACATTTATATGTATATTTTTTTAAGTGGAACATAATTTTAATAATGGCTTTAAAATCAAATTCACAAAGAAATTGTAAGCATAAAGATGTCATTGCCATATTACACTGAGCCATAAACAATTTGATTGTTACCAAGCCATAAACAGTTTTATTGTTATTCAAAAATACGATTTTTTAATATAAATTTTTTTTTCAAAATTAAACATTTGAGTCCTTGACATGTTGACACACTCCAAGACTATGGTAAATACAGTTGTGATACATTTTATTCATATTTTCGTATTTCACTATATATCTCCACTTGTCCACAACATATTCAAGTTATATCACTTACATTGCCAGTTGGTCCCCAGAGTGTAATTTGGTTCCTGGCATTAAACTCATACAGCTGCTTGTCTTCAGACCTGAAGCCTAGATTTCTTGCTGCCTGAATCCAATTTCCCAACAGGAAGTGACCTTCTGACCCAAGAAGTCTGTCCATGTCAGTCAGAAGATCCAGTAGTTTTTCACCTATAAAACTGTAAAATTCACTTACATTAATATTGGAAAAAAGAACCATAAGGCACTTGTTTTATGTCTCAAACTCTCAATTACCTAAATATTTGAATGCCTTAAATTATTGTTATAATGAATTCCTTATGCAGTTTTCTTATATACTGTATGCATATGTTATATATATATATATTATATTTTTGTATATAAATCTAAAGATTAAAATTCCATTTACCTGACTTGAGTGTAATCTTTGTGTGTGAAGGCTGTTATGAGGGAGTTATAGTAAGACAGGGAAATGTCCTGAAGACTGTTCCTTGTGACATCCACGAGATCGTATCTGTTAAAGTGTCACAAAATAGTTATAACATGGTCATGGATTTAATAATGAAACTACTTCCAATCAAACTTCAAAATTGTCAAAACAGTTGATGAAAAATGTTCTTTTATAAAAATAGGTTTTAAGATGAATGATTAATCAAATGTATAAACTTTATACTTTATTTCATCTGAATTCACAAAGTTTATCAACTTTATAATGGTACAGATGTATGCATACCAAGGGTAACAGGGACGTGCTTATACTTGACAGCATGTAGGTGAATAGGTGGACCATTGACATTTGTAAGAAATGTAACGCTACCATTATTATAACATATAAATGGCATACTTAGAGACCTTTTTTGTACCATAATAAAGTGTTCTCACTGAGATCTGCTGTGAAAAATAACTAAAAATATATAAATTGTGAGCTTTAAACTTCACTCAAGAGGTAAAGAAATGATACAACTTACACAAACAAAGAGCTATTGCTAAGCTGGGTGGCAGCTAACACAAAATTATCCCAGGCTTGATACAAATCCTCTGGGTCATACCAAACCTACAAAAAAAATGGCTGTTTGTTATCTATTAACAGAATAGTTCCACAATCAAAATCATCATGGAATTTAGAACAAAGATAATAATAATGACATTTCCTTTCAAGTAATAACTTGGCAGTATAAAAGGGAAAACAGGACAGTAACTTGTTATAAATGAATTATCATAAACCATTGGTTACCATAGTAACTTACATCTGGAGTCAGTCGTGGATGGTAGGATGGACGAGAAGTCGGTATCACATGCTTACTCTTATCTTTCAACCCGTCTGTGTTATTGTATACACTTTCCTGAAAATTGGAACATGGGAATAATTAATGCTGAAACAAAATGTACATTGCTTAAAATTTCTTTTCCAGAAGGACTCTGACGTGTACAATTTTAATTCACATTTACACATTACTTTACAAACAATTTTGCTACGTGTTTACTTAATGAGAATTAAAAACAAGAAGTGCTGTTGTAAAGTTAATCTATTTCAATACAAAACTAAAAAATATTTATGTTTATCTTAAAAATGGATTTCTAAAAATACACTTTTTCAAAATTAGATTTATTTTACAACAATTGTGAAACAATTTTTCCCAACTTATAGCAATCACTCTTTTTCCTCCGGATGGAAGGGCATGAGGGGTCTTACTGTGTGAGGAAACCAAAGTACCTCAGAGAAACCCACGTAGTCGAACAAGTGACCTCCATACCTTTTTTTACATCATTTCAAGGAATCAAACTGTCGATGTCTTGGTGAAAGGCGAGTGCATTACCACTGCGCCATCAGGCTACCCTGTTCTGTCTTTTTGATATAATTGAATTCTGATTGATTCTTTATTTCTTTACAACTTACAGCACATCATTAATTATCTAAGAATAAAAATATCTAAAAGAAACCAGATATTTCAACAAACCAAAAAAATTTACCCGTAAAAGCAGCCATGCCTTTGAACTATATTTGTTGGGTTTTCCATATCTCCTTTTTGCATACTCTGTCACCCTGTATTTGTATAATAGATACAAAGGTACAGTCTAGACAAACCATGTCTATTAAGAAATGAAAGTGAACATATACATGTATCATAATGTGTTAAGTAAATAAAACATAAGTCCCAGGGGTCTAAACGGTCACCTGCACGAGTGAACTCACACATGGAAATAATCAGAATGAATATGAAGTATACAGAAGAGAAAGTGAGAAATGTTATTTTAACAGGTACAGGAGAGTTTTTACTCAAGTTGTACTGGGGTCATAAAATTTACAAACCCTTCCGTCCATAAAAAGTATTTGATTCTATCATATTTGGTTATTGTGAAGATTTCTAAAATTTCAGCCAGTGTTGATACACTATATGTACATAACATTCACCGGTAATCTTATACTAACAATTATAACCTAGTTGGATTTATTTCCAATAGAAAATGGTAATAAACAAATTATGCTAAAAATGTAATTTTCCTATATTGACTATAATAAAGTTTACCCCATTCCCAGTTGGCAATGTGGGACCCTGGGGTCATAAAATTAATTTTACAATGATGGTAAAATATTTTGAGACCTTTTCTTTGATTGTACCATATTGAGGTACTGAACAGAAAATTTGAGACAGTTTTCAGACAATTTGAACCTTTTTGGCCCCGCCCTCTGGCCCCTAGGGGTTGGGGATCATGTGATTTACAGTTCTTTTTCACTTTTGGCCATGGAAGGTCTCTGCCAGGTTTTCATAAAGATGTCGGAAATATAGAAAGTTTAAGGACACACGACAAATAACACATGCCGAAGGGTATCACATAAAGATTGAGACTTTATCTCTGGTGACAAAAAAATTGTAGTTTTAAAAAGAAAACATATATATTTATACTTGCATAAATTCTACCATGTCATCGAAAAAAGCATGGCTACCTGTTACTGTAGTAAAATTCAATTAAATAAATCAAGCTCTACGTACTTTTAAATTCTTCAAATTATGATGATGCCTTTTATGTTAAATACCATTACAATAATTTTGTTTACCTTTCACACCTTTGTATGTCAAAAGCTTACCACTTTGATACGTCTCTAGGCTGCGGAACCCATGCATTCTCGGCCATGAATTCGTAAATCACCTCATTTTGGTTGATCCCCTCAGGAGTCAAGCCTATCCCAATCATGGTACTGTTTGGGAAATTACGCCCTTCAGCTGGACCCTGTGTTAAATCAATTTTTCATGGTCAAAAACTCAAATCACTATCAAATTCAATCACTTTAAACTGACATCTCAATGACTGCATTAGTAATTTAATCATCATGAAATTAAGAGAGAGATTTCTTAACTAACTCTGACCAACTCACATACATTGTTATAGAAGTCAACAAGATTTGAATTTGAAAATGTAACAAACATAAACAGACAAAATTCAATTTTATGGTTACAGTTGTGGGATCGCAAAACATTACAGGACGTGCACATGATGTCTGCACCATAAGGGCGTGGTAGAAAATCTATATAGTGCACTTGTGCATATGATGTATGCATGATTAATCAAAAAGTTTTTTGTGCATTACCACAACTGTAGACTACATTGACTTGAAAACGGTAGGAACAAAAAAGTTCCTTAACACATTTCAAAAAGTTTTAAAGTTTTCTATTTTGGAAATTTATATAATGAAATGTGTAGAATTAAGACTATGTAAATGCTGGCAAAATAGTTTGCAAAGTCAGAAACATGACAACTCACAGAGTTAATGCTGTCAAACATGCCATACAGCTCCATGGTACCACCAAAGTTGTGGAGCATACACCAGATAAATGGCTGTCCGAAGTATGATTCTGTGTGACGATACACAGGACGATTCTCAGCGAACAGTTCTAGTATTATCATTCTACCCTGTAACACAAAAATGCCATCCATTGGAGAGTAATACCAAAATAATCAGTGTACATACTTTGTAGGACTATGACAGTTTTATTAGCTTTAAATGGTACTCATTCAGGTTATATCGAGAAATAAGTACCTGTTGGCTGATTTAGGTGCACATTAATCATTTTCTTTCCAACTATTCTTAAATTTCATATTCTTCTTTTTTAGTTCTATTAATATTAAGTGTCCTTTATTTTTTATCCTTCTTTCTGTTAAACTATAAGATATTTATTAAAATATCATCTCAAAAACATCTTTCAAGAACCATTAAGATTATCCTAAAAATGTTACTAAAATTTTCTATTTAAAGTGCCCTTAACTTTATCAAATTAAAGGAATTTCCTTTAAAATTACAAATACTGATAACCTGGAATACAATATTCAGAAGATGAATAAATAAAATTTTCAGACAAGAGGAGATTAAAAGCATTAAGGGAAATTTCTTTTTAAGTCCTTTGATGAAGAGTCGTTCAAAGAGACACTTTTACAGTAGCGACTGTAGTGCAAAGCAAACATTGTATATAAAAAGTGTCAACCTTTATAAAACTTCCTTAGTTCCAAAAGCATATACCCAAATGGTAAAACTCCATAAAGACTATCAGAAAACACCTACTTTAGGAACAGCTGTTACAACTGCCTTTATTTGAGGACTTTTCCAGAAATCCACAGAGTTTTCAAATATCCATCCTTGCATCAACCTGCAAACAATAACAGAACCAGTGAGAAACAAAACCAGTCATCTCTGATCTTGTATTTATAGCACAGATGGTCCTCTAAAAACAAATTGGGTCAAACATCTTGACTATAGCATGGGAAGGCATTAGGAAAACTCAATCTTGTGAAATCTTTTTAACTTTAACAAGCCTTATATGTCCCCTACTCCCCCTACCAGCAGTGGATCAAGGACTAGGACACCAATAACTTAATGATATTAACTTCATCAATCTTAAATGAAACTAATAAAAATTCACAAAACCACCGTGATCAAGAAACATGGTGGTTGCAAATTCTGTCTAATTCATTGAAATGAATCGTATTTTGATAACCGTGGCAAATTTAAGTTAATTATTCACATGATTCCTATGAATGATTAGAATGGGAAATACAAAATGATTGCAATGAGAAATAAGCCACGTCTGTGCCATTAAATGTGTACATCATGAATTGTTGATTCATTGTTTAACAAGGATTTAGTCTTCCTCCCTTCTAATGGGATTGATAGTGCTGAGCACCCTTTATATTCCAGTTATAATAAGTTAGACCATTAATTTGTAACTGATGGACTTTTCATTAAAATGTTGACATCGGTGATAGTAGTGGTAAACTAAACAAGAGGTCCATGGGCCTTAATAAACATCTGACTATAAAGACTTATATATGAAAGAGGCCTAACAGGCCTAAAATAAATTGCTTAACTACTCTACAGTTTACAAAGAAGACATTGTTAGTTCATAAAAACATCTTTTGCAATCTTGCGAAAAAAAACTTGAAATCATATTCTTTATACATGCTACTACACAAATGCCATTACTCTGAACCTATTGCTTGTTGAAAATGAAATTTAGAGTTCTCAACTCACTAACCCAACAGATTTAAAGATAGGTCAAGATCAAGAAATTATTTGAACAAATCGGTAGCCGTTCATCCACTTGTATTAAAGAACCAATATTAACACCCTAGACCTGTTTTGTTATCAAAAAGAAGTCGTTTGAAGATTTTTACACATTTGACCCCTGTCACCTTTAAATAGAGAAAAGGTCAATCCTTTTTAACAAAATTGGTAACCTTTCATCCCCGCATGCCACAGACCCAATATTAGCACCTGGTTATTGTGAAGAAGTTGTTTAAAGATTTTCACATATTTGACACCTGTGACCTTGAAAAATGGTTAAGGTAAATAATATGAACAAACTTGGTAGCCTTTCATCCCAGGATGCCATTGGATGATTAACCAGCACTCTGGACTTTTTGGTAACTGAGAAGAAGTGATTTAATGATTTTGACACATCTGTGACCTTGAAAATAGGTCAATGTCATTCATTTCAACAATCTTGGTAGCCCATCATGCTACAGGCCAAATATCAACACCCTTGGTCTTTTGGTTACTAAGAAGAAGTCATTTGAATGGAAACGCACAGCGACAGAGGAAACACGACGGCTATAGGTCATCTTGACCCTTTGGGTCAGATTGCCTAACAATTTAAGGACTTCTGAATTGATCTTACCACACCGCTTGTTGGTCTGCTGATGTCAAGGCCTCAAAAACAGCTCTTGCTGACTCTGCAAGGTAGGTTGGTGAACTGAAATATAAAGCTCCATGATAAATACTGACCTGGAGTTATTAAGGGCAGGGAAACATACAAAAAATATTTAATATAATCATCAGAGAACTCTGACAAACGACTGAAAGTTACTCCCTATTGATAACAACATACTTATAACAGAAATGTACAAATTAAAATATTTTCACTGCAATCAAAGATATGTTTAAGTGTTGCAAAACGAAAAACAATTGTTTATCTGTAACCTACACTACACACAGGTATTACCTTGACTTTGGCAGCATCTCATTGAATGTGTCAATGTTGTAGATATGATCAGTACCAAACTCATTCAACATCTGCAATAAAAATGAAAATTAAATACACTTTTCTAAAATTTCATTCAGACACTTAAATTAAGTTTTAATGGATTGGCTACTTAACTTATTTCATAATTATACTAATTCACAATATCGTCTCATATTCAAGATATTTCAATCATATATAAAACAAGATTCAGTAATACAACATCTGAGAAGTGATATCAGTAATTTTTAAAGCAATATTCTATAATGCAGCTAGAAGAAGCAAAAGTACACACAAAATTAGAAAATACAATCCCTTGGGGATAAACTGAGGTAACATTTAACATTTGTTTTTTAAAACAGCTAATTAACATAATTGAAAATAATCTTATGAAACAATCTTTGCAAAGTGCCTAAACTGTCAAAGCTAAAAGGGGCCTCACCTCTTTGACTACTTCATGCCCTATCCTCTTGAACAGAGGGTCACTAAAGTCAAGTAGTAAGTTACTGAAGAAAACACAAAAATACATGTATCTATCAGTACAGTTTAAAGTGATTCATTAATCAAGTATTGTGTATCAATATTCTCTTAACCTGATTCAAATCTATACTCTAGACAATCGCTTTTAATCACTCGTGGTTATTTTTTTTTATAAGGTTCACATTTCTACCTGTTACAGATAAAATACTATTGTTCTGATGTCAGAGGAGGTCCTATTGTAAAATTGCTTGTTGTATATGCTAGGGTTGTCACTCCAAGAACAGTCAGGGCCATTTTGATGTGGAATCACCTTCTTCAAGCTGGTGACTACCTCACTGTACATCATACAGAAAGCCCTCGCATGCTGTCCAGAGGCTCCAGAGGAGAGGCACCAGAGGCTCCAGAGGCATCAAACCATGCACACCAGTTAATCAGGTTATACATGTTAACGCCGTAACCAATTACACTATCGCAGCCTCCTAAATTTTGATAAATAGAGACACAAACCAAGAATACTCAAATGTCTATTGTATGATACAACATATGTATTTCTCAGCTATTTAATGTAATTTCATTGAAGTTGTGAAAGATAATTGATAAAAAAAAATTCTTTATTTACTTACCAACAAAAAGAGGAATTGAAGTGACCCCAGTTTGGTAAATGGGATACACTGGCATTTGGAAAAATTCTGTCAAAAACATGAAAAAATATTATTTTAAGATCATCACTTATTTTGTTTTTTTTTTCTTGAAAGAGATATATATTTATCTCTCTCTGTAGTTTGTATGTGCATAAATTTGATGACAGTTACAATTGTAATTTCAGATGTATTACGATCATTTCACTTCTATAGAAACCAGATACATAACACAATACCTGGTACTAAATCAATGCATAATGAACTGTGATGTTTATTGCGTTAGTTTAATAGTTAACAAGCCGTGATAATTTTGAGCCAAATAAAACACATGTCATGAAAGTGTGTTCAGGTGTATGTCAATTAAAATATGCAGCAACATCATAGAACTTAAAGTAATTATTCTTTTGAAATCCATAAGAGATGAAATGAAACAAAGTTACAGAGTGTTCCTCATAACAACTGGTGATTTCAAGATAAGTAATGTTTTCATAAGTTAGAATATAACACAGGTATAAATTGATTTTCAATCATCATATCTGTAGGTGAAGTTATATATTAATTAATCATGTGCTTTCTATCTAGGGTATAGCAGAAAGCATAAAAAGGAAAACGGCTAAATTAAATTACTAACCTGTCAGAGTGAGTCATAGACCGTTACAAAAAGAATCTGTTACATCACATGATATTTTCATTGTATTATTACAGTAGGTCAAAATGTCAAAACTGTGAGCTATAATGTCATGCTACCATTTTTTTTTTATTATACAATAAATTAAAGCAAAGTTATAGGATTTACTATCATAAACATGAGGATTAATTCGGGAAACTAGGATATGGCTTTGTTCATAGTGTTTCTGATGTTACCTGGTGATGGCACTGGGGACGTGTCCAGCAAAGCCTGGCAATACTGGAATCATTCCAAGGTCTCTTGCCCGGTCAAGGATCCTGTGTTGTAGGACCAACTGTTGGTCAATCCATGACTGAGGTAGTGGTCCACCCCAGCCATGCATATTACCCATTCTGGACCTGTTAGCGGAAATAATATAATTACATTAGTGACAGGGAGCATAACTGCGATTTCACATTTTAACAGTCGTTCATGTGTGTCAAGGGAGATAACAAATACTTTAAAAGGTTCACTGAGGTGTTGATCCATTCCCCTGACCAAGACACCATTGTCTTGACCTAAATTCTTATTTTAAGCCTTTTATCAATAGGAGCTAATATTCACATGCAAAACTATGTGTTATCTGTTTTCTAGTAAGGAATATGGAAACCATGCTGAGTAATTTCAAGTAATATATGCATATCATATTCTAAGTACATATACATCCATCATCTGATCATTACTATTATCAAAAGTATGACGAGCCTTTATCTATTCATTCATTTTTCATTTTAAAAGTCAATCAGTACTGAAAATCACTTAACATAATATGATTCTCCTCAATATAACTTTATTTTCATTCTTTTTTTTTAAGAAATGCTTATCTATGTCCAAAAATCATTTTCACTTTTTCTCTTAAATCCATTTTGTTAGTTTATCACTTACCAAGCCAGAAATGCTGGACCAGCAAAGTGATCCTGGACCTCTTTCATAGTGAGACCCATCTTCATGTAGACCTGCAATCACACAATTATAATAAGCATGCAAATAGCTGCATTATGAGTTAAATTTTTTTTCTAAATTAAAATTTCTAATGTTAATTTCTAGTTATTTCCAATGAAAGCAGGAGTTTAAAACTTTTATTAATCTAAATTTGAAATATATTTTGTACGGTTGATTTCCAAATTCAAATTGCCAAAAATTGTGTGGATGATGAAAAAATTAAACATTTTTTAGACATCATTGAATTTTTTGTGAAAGTTTTGTCTCTAAACCTGTTGAATAAACATAAAGAACAACTAACAAGTTCATTAAAAGTACGTGATACATCAACATGAAAAATACTTCATCAAAATTTGTTTTTCTGACCCGCTGAAATATAGCCTCCTGTCCGGTGAAGGCTAAAGGCATGTTGATGCCATGTAAAGCCATCCAGTCTAACTGTTGTTGCCAGTCTGTCCAGTTATACCATACAAATGAGTAGTCCACTGTACACACATTCTGATAATACCGGAACCTGATATAGGTAAAAATCATCAACAACAATTATACATACTTACAAACAATGTACATGAGTTACATTATTATCCCTTCCTCCAAATTGATTATTCCAGCGTGTTGTTTTCAACAGTTACAATGAATATCAGTTCCCCACCCTCAACCTATACAAATATTTCATCGCAGAGTTGAAAGCTCGCAAGCCATTTGATTGGTTTTTTTACAAAGAATGACTGACTAATCACTAGGTTGACAGATGTTTTGTGATCTACCTGCTGGTGCATTTTGATCTTTATCAATGTCTGCCAAGGTAACACACTTTTTGTGGGTATGCACATGTCCAAAGCTGTTTAAATTTGATCAACATGTTTCATTTGTAAGGTGGTGTGAACAGTGCCAGGAATTAACAGATATCTAATCAGTAAAGGGCTCAGTATAATATAGGTGAGTATTGGACCTGACAGCTTTGGTGAAGATCTCAGGCCTGTGGTTTGAGACCCTACCCTGAACAGTTTAAGTTTTTTAATGGAGCTGAGGAATTTGACCGTCCTGAAATGATTGAGTCCTTGGGCATAACACTTTACTCAAGTTGCTTTTGGTGGCATGAGACTGGCCTCCCGTATGCTGTTCAGTATGGTACTGTAGCCACCAGCTGTACAAAATGACACTTGCAGTTTATGTGGCCATAAACCCAGCAAACAAATATATTCATTAAATATGAACTTTCAAGCAAATCATTATATTACATGTATCATAAGAAGGAGGTAATCCACTCAAACATCAACATTTAAGGATGCCAACCATAGCAAAAAGATGACTGTCATTTAGTTAAGAGTGCTTTGATCTTGAGGATTTTTTTCTTTGCGGTTTTTAAGAGGATGAACAAATAATGATATGATATCTCTGATAGATTTATTGTGTGATTAGTATAAATTTGTTCTGTGTATTTATAACCAGGTACGAACACCAACCTGTCATTTGTGGTCACTTTTATTCCCTGGGCAGGGACCTTAGGCAGAGGGGATGGAATGTTCATCTGTTGTCCCGCCCATGTGTACTGACACCCACAGTAATTGGTTAAGTAGTAATACAGGCCCATGGCAACTGCCACTCCTGTAGACCCGGTGATGTTGACATAATCACCAGACGCTTGAATCTAGAAATTGGTGGAAAATGAAAAAAAAAAAATTGTTCAACTGAATCAATATGAAGCCAAATCTTTATCAGCAAATAAATCGAGATTCATTTATTTCTAAGCAAAACAAATTAATAAATGTAGATAAAGAAAAAGAAAAAGAAAAAAAAATTGATGTTAAAATCTTTAGTACAAGTATTGACAGCTCAATCAAACTCTTTTGAATCAGATAGGATTTTTGGACACAACTTGACAAAAGTGAATAGGTAGAACCTATTGGAAAAAGATAAAAATGTGCACCAATTCTATCATAATGCTTACCAAAAATGTGTCTCGATTTGTAGGTCCAAGGTTTGGTTGGACATTTGCTGTCAATTCATGGGCTCTTTTCCCAATAATTCTGTCAATCAAAGCCTGCGATGCACGTGTCTGGATAGATGCAGGTGTCCTTGTCCGGATGTGATTCAAGCCAGGGAAACCTGAAATGACATTCAAAACAATAAAAGTCTAACTTGATTGAATGAAATAATATACATTCAAATAAAGAATGAATTAAAGTCACTATTTCAATTTCAATCAATAACAAATGATTACAATCAAATAGCTCTTGTTCTATGATGCATGTGTATGAGTCAACTATAATAGGAGAAATGTTTGACTTTACAAGTACATGTATACTTAAAACATCATTGCTGAATTGTTGAATCTTCAAACTTTAATATTTTTATATAGTTCCTATAACCAAACAAAAAAATGAATTTCATATTGAAAAATTTAAGTCAAAACAACAATAAAATTGCGATTAGCTTGTAATGAATCTTGAATGTAATAATCTAACATTAGTAAAGTTACGCTGAAGGAGTAGGGGGTTATATTAAGTAAGATGTACATGTAGTTCTAAGTTGATCCAACTCTGAAAACCATTTCAACTTTTAATGATATTTTACCTGGTTCAGCAGAAATTAATTGAATGAACAAAACCGAAAGCAGCAACCGCTGAAAAAAAGAAAATGATTAAAGTTAGTCACATTTTGTAACCAAACTAATTTGCTTGTTACTTGTGCTGTGTGTTCTATAGGTATAATATGTATATATTGTACGTGCACATTGACAGTATGTACTTCTATCAAAACTGTAAAAATAAGCATGCACTGTCAATTAAATGCATTCCTACTGCTGGTTATACTCAATATAGGTTTACACATACACAAAGTAGGCTAGAGACGGGTTGACACCTTGAATTGAACAAGATTAATTTATCATGAACTCTTTGGTTCCACACAACATATATTGATTTCTATGTTTTGCACATAACACACATCTAATATCGACACATCTTCAATCAAGTTATCAGTAATAGTCTGTATCATATGAATCTTTTAAAACAGGCCCCCTTAACCCATTACCAAAATACAGAGTTTTGGAAATTGCGAACTTGTGCAAAGCGTTCACCTTTCCTGTGTTGACAAATATGTGCATGATTTTGATTACGAACGAGGACGATATGTCGCTTGGATATACATTTATCTGGAACTGTTTGCCATTTGTCAGCTAGTGCATGTTTCTCGACCAGCTGTGTTTACACCGGAAGCACAATTGTGGGGACCAGCCAGGGGTATAAAGATATTCTGAAAAAGAACGAGCAATTATATGACGTTGATAATGAATTTTTACTATACATAATTTTGATTAAATTTGTTGTACATGAAAATCTGATACAAGTTACAAGTATTCATAGAATTGGGAGAATTGAGATAACCTTTAATTTTTTCAACAGAAAAAAAAAAGATAAAAAAAATATTTCTTAAATATTCATTCCAACCATACGATGGTCATTCTAATAGAAGATAAAATAGGCTTTGTCATTCAAGTTGTAAGATCCAAACGGGTTCATAATGAACAATTATATGTAAATGTACAATAGTGAATGCGAGAAAAGTTATTAGATGCACTATCACGGACTTAGTATGCCAAGACCGTGGTACTAATATACCAAAGGACATAAGACTTGCATTTGTAGGACACCGGTGGATGAACCTTATAACGGTTTCTATTTAAATTTCTGTTTAAATTGATTGATTTGTACATGTCTATCACGTGATCCCATTATAAAACATGACTCAACAAAATATCGATTATAGACTTTGTAAAACATGCCAGTTAATATCTTCTTATCAGAGGATTAAGACACTGCTTTTCGACCGTCTTTGACAACGGAACAATGTTGGGAAACACTATGCTCCGAATTCGGCACTAAAATATAAAATACAAGATGTATCACGGTATACATTACTATAGGCACGAGATATGGCGATGTGTTATTTGTAATTAATGTGATATTTCACTAAATATCACAACTAATGTCTAACAAAGTCCGGAACAAATAATTTGATCGTGGCTGATATCAAACTGGTAAAAGTTTAGAAAAACCGAGTTTTCAAACTGACTTACTACAAAAGATTTAGACTGACCTTTCCCCAGCCTATCTGATTGTGTTATCATATGAATATGGGAACATCATAGCAGGTCATTATACTTGTACATATATAACGAAGTAATGGTAGAAAACAACGATACAACTGTTCAAATCAATGTTCATACATCATTCAGAAATAGTCATTATATCAGCCCAATGAAAACCACTCTATATTAATCACCCAATCAAACTAAACACGAATTTCCACCAAAAGCTTGACACAAAAAGGTTATCTAAGACATAGAATGGACAATATTTTTCACTAATCATTTTCATTTTTGGTAGTTTCTCTACGTTTGAAATGATGACAAGATGTGGATAAAGAGAAAAGGGTTGGGGGGGGGGGATAAATGACGTAATTGGAATGACAGCTTGGTTTTGACGACGTCATTGCTGTACAATTTACATGCAGGACGATGTCCCCTTTACCTGGTTTGTCGTCATCAACGGGGCAGTAAAAGTACAAGGTACATACACCTCCATACAATACAATGTCTCCCCTCCCCCAACCCCCACCCCCCACACCCCCCTCCACACACACACACACACACCCTCACACACACACACACACACACACACACACACACACACACCACACACACACACACACACACTACCTGGTTTGTCTTCATCAACCAGGAAGTTAAAGTACAAGGTACATACACGTACAGTACCCCGTTCCCCCTCTACCTGATTTGTCGTCATCAACGGGGCAGTAAAAATACAAGGTACATACGCGTCCATACGATACAATGCCTCCCCACCCCCACCCCCACCCTCTACCTTGTTTGTCGTTATAAACGGGGAAGTACAACTATTATGTACACACATGTAGTTTTTATATGTCGCTGATTTAACCCCATAACCCCAAGAATTAGTTAGAGGCGCGGAGACCGGAAACCTATAATCGACTACCAGCCTACCTTGATAGAATCCGAGGTTTTAAACTACTGACTATCGTCAGACAAGTTATTATGAATTACTGCTGATATAGACAACATTCTTGTCTCTCTGTAACTACATTGCCCATGCGACAATGGAAAGAAGAATACTTTTACTTCTCATCGCAGCAGCGTTTTATATTGAATCTTGCCACGGGTAGGTACTGTTTGAAATTTTGAAAGCTTGAAAGTAAATATTTTTTATTGTCCTGAACATCAGATTATAAAACCTACTTTATGGCTATCGATCATTAAATAATATACAAGTCACTCAAATTAAAACATTGCCTTGTAATTGTTAACATATCATTTTCAGTCATATTAATTGATACCATCTACAATACTTAAACCAAAATAATAAAGAGACTTTGTCTTAGCCTTTCTTATTTGTGGTTGGTCAGTGTCGACGGCATTGGCAATCAAAAGCGTGGTTATGTACCTTTGAAACTATGTCTCTCTGTTAGCTGACTTGCTTTTGTTTTCAGTCAACGCTTTTCAAAACAAGTCTCAAATACCTTGCAAAGTTCATCAATTCCGTTTTAAGGTGTATTGATGATGTCTTACCTTTAAATAACGATAGATTTATTCACCATATCTATCGTATATACCCACCAGAAATGGAAATAAAGGAACTTTTTTTCTACAACGAATCTAATATGGACAGCTTTCCACCACGTTGTAAGATATGCGTGATGATTTCAATGTTCCTATTGCTAATTTTCCATTTCTGGATAACAACACCCCTACATAATGAACCAATGGCGTTAAAATATCGCAGTTGATTCGATTCGGAGTATCACGATTTTAATGCAAGATGCAATCAACAGACAAGCTCATAACATAGGGTTGCGATAGATGCAGGGTGATGAAGATTATGTGAAACCTTACGGTCGTCATAATAATCTTGTTGAGAAAATCCTATTTCTTTGTGCAAGATGAAGCTGGACGTGTGTTATGCTCGTTAGTTTACCTGTTGGTTCCGTTGTTGTATACCTTGTTCTCATTTGTGAACCTGACATCACTATCTATATTGACCAATTTACGTGGCAAGCGTGGTCGATGAAGCAGAAGTGGCTTACTCTTTCGGAACATCTGGTATCATTCTCCTTTTACCTTGTAATGAGTCTCCGTGTAAATATTGTACGTAAGTTGTCCTGGTTTTATTGAATTTCAGTTTAGATTATGTTTCTGTTCTCATGTTGGTAATTTAATGTTAATTTTGTAATTTAATGGCATTTTGTTGCGTTTTAATTAGTTTTCCTGACGCGTTTCTTATTTATGTATAGATTATTGGGTAGATAGTTTTTATTAACGAGTATAACTAGCTAGAACATTGGTTATTTCTGTGACAGGTCGACTTGTGCATACACTTATGCCTCGAGATATCAAACATCGGTTTGTGATGCACGTTGGTGGTGGGTATGGTGAGTAACCTGTGTGTGCATGTGGTTTGATTTGAAAATTCTTTATTTTTAATTTGAAATTAAAAAAAAAAACTAAAAAATATTTTTACAGTCACATATTCGAAGAAATTGACATATTTCATATTAACAAATATCTGTTTAGGCAAAATTGGTCAATATATTCATTTGGTTAAGTATCTTTGTAATGCATTTGAAATTGTTGATGTAAAGTGGTTCTATTACAAGGAATTGCAGCTACTTCAAGCAATGATTTATATCTTAATGTTTTTCCTTTTGCTATGTATACATTGTGTAACACATACTTTGGTTTAAAGCACGCAGTATACGGACGAGACCCGGTATAGACAAAAAGTCGGACATAGATGTTGTCCTGGATACCAAGGTTCCGACTGCAATACACGTACGTAAACTTGTACACTATTCCATTTCTACTGTGTTTCCTCGACATCACACCTATCGTCTAGCGAAGGCGTGAGTAAATGTCTGATAAACTTACAGAAATATCTACCTAATGCTCAAAACAATCTTACAAAAGTAAAAATTTACGAATACCCGGAGTAAGTGGAGAAACTTCTTTCAACTTGATATTTAATAGTGAACACTAAGGCCTGAAAGTTTGCCAAATATGTAAATATTAACAACTTTTTAAGTTCTTCCTCTTCTCTCTTTAAAGATATTTTCCATGTCTTAAGCTCTTTCTTACCTTGTTCTTTTATATATAAAAAATCATAATATCAAACTTGGGTGGCAAACCAGCAAATATAGAAATGAAATTAACTTATACACCGTGTATTTGAAAAGTTTACACAGGGCTATTTCGATTCGTCGATTCGTGTTTTTTCTTTGTTTGCAAAGCAAGATGAGTTTTTATTGTATATACAATGTAAACATGTTTTTCACTAAAATAATAATATACGTAGAAAATATTTTGTGGGATCACAATATTTGAAAAGTGTTAAAATTGCGAAATATAGCTGAAAATAAAAGAACTCAATGAATTAAACATAAATCCTTCTATGAAATTTTAATTACCTGATGATGAAATGAAGGCTTAAAATAATGTACACAAGCAGACATATTATTTTTCTTGAAATCATTTAAACAAGCTGACATTATTGATATATGTGTAAAATGTATCATTATTAACAGGACTTTTACAGATGCACTGACAAATTAGTTTATGATACATTGTATATAAAGATATGGAAGAACACTACTTGACAATGACGTTGTAATTATTGCAGCGATTTGTGCTCCGACCTGTAAAAACAAAGGGAGATGTATATCTCCAAACCGCTGCGACTGCCCGAAGGGAACGGCCGGGCATACCTGTGAACAAGGTGTGAAAACAATGTCGAAACAATTGATAAACTTCCGAAATAACGAAGAAAATATAGATAAAAGATAAAAGGCCCCAATGAATTATACATGAATCCTTCTCTGAAATTTTAATTACCTGACGATGGAATGAAGGCTCAAAATAATTTACACATACATATTATTTTCTTGAAATCATCTAAACAAGCTGACATGTTTTTTTTCTTCATTATTGATATATGTGTAAAATGTATCATTATTAACAGGACTTTTACAAATGCACTGACAATTTAGTTTATGATACATTGTATATAAAGATATGGAAGAACACTACTTGACAATGACGTTGTAATTATTGCAGCGATTTGTGCTCCGACCTGTAAAAACAATGGGAGATGTATATCTCCAAACCGCTGCCACTGTCCGAAGGGAACAGCCGGGCATACCTGTGAACAAAGTATGTTAACATTGTCGAAACAATTGATAAACTTCGGAAATATTGAAGAAATTATGTACTGCTACAGATAATTGCAATGTAATGAAAGTACTGAAGATTATCATTTAATAGACATAAGAAAAACATTGTAACATTTTTTAAAGTAATGTGTGGATATTGACAGTAGTGTGTTTTGTGTTACATGTATCTTGATAATAATTTTATATTTTTAAATGTTCTTTGTTCATTTCAAAGTTAACGTCATTGTACTTCTGTAGATGATTAATATTACATTATAGCATTGCTGTTGTTAACTTTTAACCCCCCCCCCCCCCCCACTTGGCCCTTTCAACTTATTTTAAACACATGCGACAACCATTCCTCTGTGCGACTCTAGAAGTAAGTATTTTTCTTTATAAACTAAAGACATTCTTGTATTATCTTATGTTGTTGCCATCTTCAAGACAAGATTGAGGTAAGTCAGATTCATATATTGTGTATTGCCAGCTGAGAAAAGATGGTGATGTATATACATAGGAAATTATAAGTAATAAAAGCAAATTAAAGTTGCCTCCCTTTATAATAAAATAAACAATGAAAAGATCAAATTTGTATGATGTTAATTGTCATTAATGAACCTTATGGAAAGTAACGCACAATGATATTGTCCTTATCCAGTTGGCATTCGTATTGTCATTCTTTAATTCGTCATTTCAAAACTAAAGTTTATTATTTTACCTGAATAATTTTAATAATTTATTCTAAAATTATATAGATTGTCGACAACATCATAATGGGAACTTCCGCACTAATATCGGAAAGAAGGTATCGTATCATTGACGAGAGAAATATTTTAGATAACTACACACACAACGTCATACACACAAACGAATCTATTATATGACGAAGTGCTCTAAGAATCTGTCACGTGTTTTCATTACAAAAGATTACAATTTATTCTATGAATCTAATATAATTGTTTTAATTTAATGTTGTAATTCTTTATATCAGTTTGACCGCTCGTTCCTTGCACAAACATTTTATTAACTGTTACACAAAATATGAGAATCTGCACGATATGCGGGTAATGCTTGATCAATATGCGAACTGTATTTCGGTATTTTGTTATTGTCATGTTTATCTTATCTGATCACTTCGCATTTGAATACATGTTAATATCAAATTATTCTATGTAAGGAAACACATGATGAAATATTCGATATGGACGAAATTATTCTATGTAAGGAAACACTTCAATGAAATATTCGATATGGATGAAATTATTCCATTTAATGAAACGCTTAATGAACTATTCGATATGGACGAATTTATGAAGATAACAAATCTATCTGATAATGTATAAGGTTTGTAAATTAGCTTAGCTTAACAATATTATCAAACGGATAAGATTAAGGCATTTACTTTCACGTCTGTAGTACAATATAAGACAATAAAACGATATAAATTATGAAGCTTGCTAAATTTGCCTTAACGCTAATTCGTGGTCCATTCTGCATGTAAAACAAATGTGATATCAACAATTTCTGTGTTGAAAGCACGTTTGGTAGTGACGTAATAACGCAATTTCCGCAGTCATTACGTGGCATAGTAAGTTTTAAGTATTGAACTGTACTAAGTTTTTGTATGCCATAGTTAATTGCAGCAAAACATGCCAAGAGCCAGGGGTACTCATCCAGCGAGGCTAAGGCGACGTCCACAACCGTATGATCCCAGTGATCCAGGTCAGCGTGCAAGAAGGGCTTCTAGTAAAAGTGCTGGTAGTGTTCTTCTCACTCCAGACCCAAGTGCTGACCAAGGACCAGATTTGGAGGGGGCACATGAGGAGCGGAACAGGCGGTGACCATCTCAACATCACGGCTTGATCAACTGATAGCTGACAGGGTAGAAGCGATGCTTCAGGAGCGAATTGATGTTAACGCCAATCCAGCTGCCTCGAATATAAGTGCAGGTAATGAGCCAGACAACCTGGTTCCATTTCAAATTATAAGTGTCAATAACTCCTTGGGGGCAAATGTTGCACCTAACTTACAGCAAAAATCATTAATGGTGAATATATAGACTTGAAAGCCATGCTAGTCAATCCTGGTAATATTGATGAGCACCCCCAAAAAATAAACTTGGTTGACGGGGAGCTCAAAATAACTAACAAAGAAGCAGGAAAAAAGATCAATGTTATTCAGGCATGGACGGATGCCTTTTTAGATTTTATGTCAATTTATATTTCTGCCAACCAGGATGAAGCAACGGCAATGTTAAAATATATCAGCACTGTAAGATTAGGGGCATCAAGAGGGGAAGGCAATGGCTTGATAGATTACGATCAGCAGTTTCGTCTCAGAAAAGCTATGGATCAGAGTATTTCATGGGGTGTTGTTGATCAGGAGCTCTGCCTCCTACTTATGCACAAGGCTTCTCGTGGTTTTGGTTACTCTCATAAATCTATTGGAAGTAGGCAAAATGAGCACCTCTAGTGTTATGATTATAATTACCAGAAAGTATGCGAGAGGTCCAATTGCTTTTGCATTCACCTTTGTTTAAAGTGCTCAGGTAGGCATCCCATTGTCAACTGTCATACATGGGACTCACCTAGCAATAACTCTGGCTATTTTAATTTTAGACACGGTTCTCGAAGAGGAAACAGTTTTGGTGCCCAATCACAATCTACTCAACATTCTGCCCAATCACCTCGATTTAGTAGCAGTCGTTCAGCCGGCAATTAAATCATATCCTGAGAGTGTTGTGGCGAGTGAATTACTTGAGGGTTCTAAATACGGTTTTCGCCTAAATTATTCTGATCCTAGGGTCCCTTTTAATTGTAGTAATCTTATTTCTGTTCATGAGCATGAGTATGAGGCTGCCAGTAAAAAGAAGTAAACCTTGGTCGTATTGCTGGTCCTTTCGATTCTAGGCCCTTTTCTACGTTGCGTATCTCTCCCATGGGCCTTGTCCCTAAAACCTTGGGTCATAGAAAATAATTCAGCATATATCACACCTCAAAGGTGCTACCGTCAATGACTTTATTGATTCCGATCAATGTAAAGTAGAATATGCTTCTTTTGATACAGCTATAGAGATGATCAGTAAGCTGGGCCGGGGTGCTTTATTAGCAAAGTTAGACATTATGTCGGGCTTCCGCCTATTGCCAGTTCATCCTTTGGATTTTGAATTGTTGGGTTTTAAGCTAATAGGATAATATTTTCTTGATCGTTGCCTTCCAATGGAATTTTCAATATCCTGTTCTTTATTTGAGAAATTTGCAACATTTTTCGAGTGGTTAGTCATAATAATTCCACCATAATTCATTATTTAGATGACTTTCTTTGTGCTGGGGCATCTAACACTTTCTGATAGTTACACCCTTATGCAAGTGTTTGAACAGACATGTACTGAGATAGGTGTACCATTAGCGGGGGAAAAGACTGAGGGCCCTGTGCAAATCCTTATATTTTTGGGTCTGGAAATAAACACTTTGGAAATGTCTGTCAAAGTTCCTCAAGCTAAACTAATAGAGTTCAAAGGTACACTTGAATCTCTGTATGGAAGAAAAAAGTCAAGAGTGAAGGAGATTCAGTCATTAACAGACCTCCTAAATTTCTGCTCCCTGGCCATACCAAGTTCCAGGGGCTTTAGTAGGCGTTTCTATTATGCTATATCGAGTATGTCCAATCCACGTCACCATATACGTCTAAACCAGGAACTAAAGGAAGATATTCGGGTTTGGTTAGTATTCCTAGATTGCTTCAATGGTGTAACGTACATCCCCAACCTTGAGTGGTCATCAAATACCAAATTTCAACTCTTTACAGATAGTGCAAGGGTGGCCATCTTGGGGCAAGGGCTTATTTCCAAAGACATCGGGTGTACTTGGATGGGAACTAGCGTATTGCGAGACATTACATTTCTTGAATTGGTCCTTGTTGCTTTGGCCTTTCACATTTGGGGTACTTCAATGGTTAATCACATAATTCCCTTGCACATAGACAATAGTGCACTTGTATTAACAAGAAATCAGCAAGGTCTAAGTGAGTGATGCATTTGCTTCGCCCCTTTGTACTGGATATTATGCGCAACAATATTCAGTGTAAGGCTGGTGCAAAAAACCTGTTATTTCTCGCCTACAGTTTGCAAAGTTCAGACGCCTGGCTCCTTCAGCCGATCGGGAACCAGCCAAAATTCCAAGTTCATTCCAAGCATTAATCTCGACACTGAAGCTGTCCGATTGTTAAATACATCTCTTGCTTCAAATATTCAGTTAGTATACAGGCATGCCCTGCAGGCATTTGAAAAATTCAGACAATGCCACTTCAATGACCAAAGCTGGCCCCCCAGCTGTCAACAGGTAATTGATTATATTATTTTCAAGTCTGTCTCGGGTATCGCACCCAGCACTGTTCAAACATTTCTATCAGCCATTGCATTTAAATGCAAGATTTTAATGGTCAATAATCCAACTGAAAATTTCATTATAAAGAAAATGTTAAAAGGCATATCTCGCTTAAAGAAAAATCCAGACTCTCATTTACCCATAACCCCTGATATAATTATACAAATTTTGCAGTCTCTCCCTGCAGTATGTTTTTCATCATAAGAGTCAAAACTTATTGTAGCAATGTTTTCAATAGCGTATTTTGGTGTGTTTTTTTCGCATTGGGGAATCGGTGTAGAAAAATTTGAGAACAGGGACACATACACCGATGAGAGATAATGTTAGATTGCTGCATGGTGATTCCCTGCTGCAGTTGGCGTTGCCTCATTCAAAGGCTGATCAGGAAGATGAAAGGGTAGCGATAGAGTTCCCATCGGGTGCGTCACCCTGTCCAGTCAAAAAAGATTATAAAGATTATATGATAGCACGGCCTAAGATAAATGGTCCATTTTTCTGGACTAGTAGGCTGGGCATGACCGAAGATGAAATAACGCATTTGGGAAGGTGGGAATCTCGTGCCTACAAATCCTGCATACGAATCCCTTCCGTTAAACTAGGGTGTTGAATGGTCCCTTTAACCTTACCTAGTTAACCTAATTATACTTAAAGGGAGATTTAATTGTAAGCTTGACGGTGAAATTGACCTTGAATAAGTCTTTTTGCAGATATGGAGTATCAGGTTTGGCTGCTAGGCTCCTCTATTATTCAGTGTGCATTCCAAGTTTTCTTCAGAAGTGGTGCATTTGGTTCTCCAGCGCTATGGAAATAAATTATGGCAAGGTAAAAGTGGAATGCGCTGGAGTCAAGTTTTAAATCCCGTTGAAAGAATGCTCACATATGAACCGCCCCCTCGGGTTTTAGTCATTCATTGTGGTGGTAATGATGTAGGTAGATTTTCCTAAGGTCATTTAAGACATGACATTTTGAGTACACTGGATATTCTTCGGGCTCGGTTACCACAAACTCATATCATATGGTCTCGAATACTTCCAAGAAAGTAGAGATATGAAAGGCCAGGGGGTAATTTGAATAAGCTTAGGGTACGTATAAACAGCAGAGTAGCTACTGTCAATCAGGCAGATGGGGAAGATATATAAAATATCCAGAGATTGTGTGTGACAACTCTGCCTTGTCTTTAGAAGGTCCACCTGTCAAAGCTAAGAAATTTCTTTTTTCTGCATAATTTGCAGCAAGGTCTTTATTTCATTTTAAACTATCCCAGAAAATGTTTAAATGGCGATTGTGGTATTGGCTGCTTGGCTACCCATTACCTGCAACAATATGTAAGGGTTGCCCAGAGTCATTCACAGCAGGGATTTTCCTGCTAGTTTGAAAAACAAATTTTGCTGCTGTATTGCTGGTAGCAGAGATTTTCCTGCAAATTTGAACATTTGTTGGCTGCTACATATTGTTGTTAGCATGGATTTTCCTGCCAATTTGAACAATTTTGGCGGCTATATTGCTGGTTGCAGGGATATTACTGCTAGTTTGAACGTCTGTTAGCTACTATATTGCTGGTAGCAGGAACTTGCCATTTTTAATTTGAACAGTACAAGTTTGTCAATTTCAGACAATTAATACTACGCAGGGAATTCCTATAATTGTTCACTTGTAACCTTGTATTTGGTTCTGCCAGTTTGCAATTTTCCATAAATTTTCTCGGTTATTATTTCCGGTGGCGGTGGCAAGTTTGGGGATAGAATCCCTAGATCACCAGTGATTCTATCTGTGGTCCTTCCCATGTGGCGGTTTAGAAGTTGCCACCAGGAATAATAACTATACAGTATATATATTTAACATAATTACAGCTATTCGGAATGACGCCTGCTCACAGAGTCATTTCTGTATATATAGCTTGAAAATTTTACAATTAACAGATTTTGTCGCATCTATCTATTTGAGGTGGCCCAGCAGCCCAATTTTGGGTGGCAACCTCTTGGTGACGAAGCCATGGTCACAATCGCCAACCACAACAAAAACACTATATTGTCAAATTTATTTTGTAGAGGTTATTTAAGTGATGTGAAATTTATTATATGCCTTCGTTATCTCTGATAATGGGATTTATTTGATAACAAATAAATCTGTTTATCAGAGTGCAAGCCACTCTTGGGTGTCATACCAGTATCTGCTATCCAGAGTTGCCTCCCATATTCCTATTGGATCGGGTATAATCAGAGTTATCTCCCATCTTTTTATCATTTTTACACATTGGCGGGAAGGTTACACCAGAGGCAGTCAATTGTTCAACCTCCCACCATCCGCAAAGTTTGTTTTTCTGCTGGCTGCTGTTTTTTTTTTTTATTATTATTTTATTGCCGGGTGTGTGTCTGGAATATGCAGTCTCTCTGGGCTTGTCAGGATCACTTTCAAACATCGTCATGACTTCACTCCGTTGTGGCAGTAAGGACCAGGAATATGGTATTATTGTAACACACTTTGTTAAAAGACTCGGTTCTACTTGCCGTTTAGTGATTGTAGCGGCGGTTTAGAGGTCGCCACCAGGAATAATATCTATACAGTATATATATTTAACATAATTACAGTTAATCAGAATGACGCCTGCTCATAGAGTCATTTCTGTATATAGCTTGAAAATTTTACAATTAACAGATTTTGTCGCATCTATCTATTTGAGGCGGCCCAGCAGCCCAATTTTGGGTGGCAACCTCTTGGTGACGAAGCCATGGTCACAATCGCCAACCACAACAAAAACACTATATTGTCAAATTTATTTTGTAGAGGTTATTTAAGTGATGTGAAATTTATCATATGCCTTCGTTATCTCTGATAATGGGATTTATTTGATAATAAATAAATCTGTTTATCAGAGTGCAAGCCACTCTTGGATTTCATTCCAGTATCTCTGATAATGATAGCTTATATGACCTTTCCGTTATCGTCATCTTGCTGCTCTGTTTCCCTTGTCGGGCCGAATCCTGCAACTTTTGCTTCCGGTGACGATGTTAGGAAAATATTTCTGGCGGCCAGGTGATGATGTATAATCTATAAGTAAGTCAAGAAAAACCCAAGATGGATAAAAGCCAGGATTACTTATATAGTGAAGTATCAATCAAATGCATTCCTACTGCTGGTTATATTCAATATAGGTTTACACATACACAAAGTAGGCTAGAGACGGGTTGATACCTTGAATTGGACAAGATGAATTTATCATGAACTCTTTGGTTCATCACAACATATATTGATTTCTATGTTTTGCAATGAACATAACACACATCTAATATCGACAAATCTTCAATCAAGTTATCAGTAATAGCCTAGTCTGTATCATATGAATCGTTAAAACAGGCCCCCTTAACCCATTACCAAAATACAGAGTTTTGGAAATTGCAAGCTTGTGCAAAGCGTTCACCTTTCCTGTGTTGACAAATATGCGCATGGTTTTTACTACGAACGAGGACGATATGTCGCTTGGACACACATTTACCTGCAGCTGTTTGCCATTTGTCAGCTAGTACATGTTTCTCGACCATCTGTGTTTACACCGGAAGCACAATTGTGGTGACCCAAATCAGAATATAGATCTTCTGAAAAAGAACGAGTAATCTTATGACATTGATAATGGATTATGTTAAGCCATTATTAACTATATATACATATATACAAATACTGAGTACACATTGGAAAGAGGAGGCAAAACTCATATTACAAGAATCAGAATATGTTTACAATTTAATTAAATTGATTGTACTTGTAAATCTGATACTTAAGTTACAACTATTCATAGAATTGTGAGAATTGAGATAACATCTAATTTTTTACTAGAAAAAAAATATAAGTAAATATTTTGTAAATAATATTTTGTAAATATTCATTCCAACCATACGATGGTCATTCTAATAGAAGATGAACTAGTCTTTGTCATTGAAATTGTAAGATCCAAACGGGTTCATGATAAGCAATTATATGCAAATGTACAGTAGTGAATGCGAGAAAAGTGATTAATTTTAAATGTACTACCAAGGACTTAGTATTCGAAGACCGTGGTACTAATATACCAAAGGACATAAGACTTGCATTTATAGGACATCGGTGGATGGACCTTATTATGGTTTCTTTACTCCTTCAAACCTCACTATCAAAACCGTATTTTATACGACTGGCATTTTGTTTTCATTGATTGATATGTACATGTCTATTATGTGATCACATTATAAAACATGATTCAACAAAATATCGATTATAGATTTTGTAAAACATGCCAGTTAATATCTTCTTATCAGAGAAATAAGACATTGCTTTTCGACCGTCTTTGACAACAGAACAATGTTGGGAAACACTATGCTCCGAATTCGGAACTAAAATGAAAAATACAAGGTGTAACAGAATTATGTATCAAGATACACATTACTGTAGGCACGAGATATGGCTATGTATTATATGTATATATTATAACGAAGTAATGGTAGAAAACAACGATACAACTGTTCAAATCATCATTCAGAAATGGTCATTAAATCAGTACAATGAAAATCACTTTATATTAATCGCCTAACCAAACTAGACACGAGTTTCTAAAACGAAAGCTTGATACAAAAAGGTTATCTAAGGGATTGGGGGAGGGGGGAGGTCGGGAGTAAATGACGTAATTGGACTGACGGCTTGGTTTTGACGACGTCATTGCTGTATCATTTACATACAGGATGATGTCCCCTTTACCTGCTGTGTGTGTGGGGGGAGGGGGATTAAATGACGTAATTGGAGTGACGGCTTGGTTTTGACGGGGCAGTACAATTTACATAAGGATGTCCCTTTTACCTGCTGTGTGTGTGTGTGGGGGGGGGGGTGAGGGGGGGGGAGGGGGGAGTAAATAAGTAAATGTCCCTTTTACCTGGTTTGTCTTTATCAACGAGGAAGTAAAAGTACAAGGTACATATACATCCATACTATACATATACCCTCTCTACCTGGTTTGTCGTTATTAACGGGGAAGTACAATTGTTATGTACATAAACGTAGTTTTGATATGTCTTCAGAACACCACGATCTTCGATGATTTAACCCCCTAACCCCATGAACTAGGAAGAGCCGCGGAAACCTATAATAGACCACCGACCTACCTTGACATCGAGGTTATAAACTACTGACTATCGTCAAACAAGTTACTATGTATAACTGTTGATATAGACAACATTCTTGTCTCTCTGTAACTACATTGCCCATGCAACAATGGAAAGAAGAATACTTTTACTTCTGATGGCAGTAATGTTTTATATTGAATCATGTCACGGGTAGGTACTGTTTTAAATTTTGAAAGCTTGAAAGTAAATATTTTTTATTGTCCTGAACATCAGATTATAAAACCTACTTTATGGCTATCGATCATTAAACAATATACAAGTCACCCAAATTAAAACATTGCCTTGTAATTGTTAACATATCATTTTCAGTCATATTAATTGATACCATCTACAATACTTAAACCAAAATAATAAAGAGACTTTGTCTTAGCCTTTCTTATTTGTGATTGGTCAGTGTCGACGGCATTGGCAATCAAAAGCGTGGTTATGTGTCTCTCTGTTAGCTGACTTGCTTTTGTTTTCAGTCAACGCTTTTCAAAACAAGTCTCAAATACCTTGCAAAGTTCATCGATTTCGTTTTAAGGTGTATTGATGTTGTCTTACTTTCAAATAACGATAGATTTATTCACCATATCTATCGTATATACCCACCAGAAATGGAATAAAGGAATTTTTTCTTTATCAGTCGCTAAGCTCGAGATTTTTGTACAACGAAACGGGCGTGTGTGATGCTTGTTAGTTTGCCTGGTGGTTCCGTTGTTGTATACCTTGTTCTCATTTGTGAACCTGACATCGCTATCTATATTGACCAAAATATACGTGGCAAGCGTGGTCGATGAAGCAAAGGAGACTTACTCTTTCGGAACACCTGGTATTATTCTCCGTTTTCCCTGTAATGAGTTTCCGTGTAAATATTTCTTTTGTGCGTATTTTGCCCCAGTTTTATTGAATTTGATTTTAGGTTATATCTCTGGTCTCAGTTTTTAATTAGTTTTCCTGACTGTCGCTTTGAATCGTCGACCTCTCGTTTCTTACTTACGTATAGATGATTGGGTAGATGGTTTTTAGCTAGAACATTGGTTATTTCTGTGATAGGTCGACTTGTGCCTACACTTATGCCTCGAGATATCAAACATCGGTTTGTGATCCACATTGGTGGTGGAAATGGTGAGTAACCTGTGTGTGTGCATGTGGTTTGATTTGAAAATTCTTTATTTTTGATTTGAAATTTAAAAAAACTAAACAATATTCGTATAGTCACATATTCGAAGAAATTGACATTTTTCATACTAACAAATGTCTGTTAAGGCGAGAGATCCATTTGGTTAAGTATCTTTGAAATGCATTTGAAATCGTTGATGTAAAGTGGTTCTATTACAAGGAATTAAAACTACTTCAAGCAATGATTTATATCGTGATGGTTTTTCCTTTTGCTATGTATACATTGTGTAACAAATGCTTTGTTTTAAAGTTCGCACGAGACTCGGTATAGAAAACAAATCAGATACCGATGTTGTCCTGGATACCAAGGTTCCGGCTGTCATACACGTACGTAAACTTGCTGAAATGCTCAAAATGATCTTGCAAAAGCACAATTTACTTATGCCTGACGTAAGTGGTGAAACTTCTTTCAACTTGATATTTAATAGTAAACACTAAGGCCTAATAATTTGCCAAATATGTAACTAATAACAACTTTTTAAGTTCTTTACACATCTCTCTTCAAAGATATTTTCCAAATCTCAAGCTCTTTCTTACCTTGTTCTTTTATATATAAAAGAAATTCATAATATCAGATATGGGTTGTAAATCAGCATATATAGAAATGAAATGAACTTCAAATCTTTTCCTTTCACATTCTTTCTTTCCTTTATTTGTTTCTTCATGCAAATGTGTCTTTGTGAATAATATGGGTGTAAACATAATTAAAAAGAAGTAGTTTTACTTCAATAAGGACATCAATAAGTGTATAAAAATGTGATTTGCAGGTGTGTGTAAGAAAGCGTGTATCTGTATGTGTGAATAATAATGAGAATGCTGTGTATATTATTTTCCTATGTTTCTTTATATATGTATGTATATGTTACAAAAATGATTCCAAAATAAAAAAGAATGTTTAAAAAATGTCTGATAAATACATAGTAAAATAATCAAACATAACATATTACATTTCTTTTATAAGAAATTAAGGAATATCTGTATGCTATTTTTTATATTGAGGATGATATTGATCGGGAATCCAGTCTGTATCGATTTTTTACGAATATCACCGTATCCAAAACACCCCATGTATTAGAAAGGTTTACACAGGGCTATTTCGATTCGTCGATTCGTGTTTTTTCTTTGTTTGTATAACAAGATGATTTTTTATTGTGTATGAAATATAAACATGTTTTTCACTAAGATATTAATATACGTAGAAAATATGTTGTGGGATCAAAATATTTGAAAAGTGTTAAAATTGCGAAATATAGCTGAAAATAAAAGAACTCAATGAATTAAACATAAATCCTTCTCAGAAATTTTAATTACCTGATGATGAAATGAAGGCTTAAAATAATGTACACAAGCAGACATATTATTTTTCTTGAAATCATTTAAACAAGCTGACATTATTGATATATGTGTAAAATGTATCATTATTAACAGGACTTTTACAGATGCACTGACAAATTAGTTTATGATACTTTGTATATAAAGATATGGAAGAACACTACTTGACAATGACGTTGTAATTATTGCAGCGATTTGTGCTCCGACCTGTAAAAACAAAGGGAGATGTATATCTCCAAACCGCTGCCACTGTCCGAAGGGAACAGCCGGGCATACCTGTGAACAAGGTATGTAAACATTGTCGAAACAATTGATAAACTTCGGAAATATTGAAGAAATTATGTACTGCTAAAGATAATTGGAATGTCATGAAAGTACTGAAGATTTTCATATAATAGACAAGAAAAACATTGTAACATTTTCTAAAGTAATGTGTGGATATTGACAGTAGTATGTTATGTGCTACATGTATCTTGATAATAATTTTATATTTTTAAATGTTCTTTGTTCATTTCAAAGTTAACGTCATTGTACTTCTGTAGATGATTAATATTACATTATAGCATTGCTGTTGTTAACTTTTACCCCCCCCCCCCCCCCCCCCACACACACACACACCTTGACCCTTTCAACTTATCTTGCACACATGCGACAACCTTTCCTCTGTGCGACTCTAGAAGTAAGTATTTTTCTTTATAAACTAAAGACATTCTCGTATTATCTTATGTTGTTGCCATCTTCAAGACAAGATTGAGGTAAGTCAGATTTATATATTGTGTATTGCCAGCTGAGAAATGACGGTGATGTATAAACATAGGAAATTACAAGTAATAAAAGCAAATTAAAGTTGCCTCCCTTTGTAATATGATAAACAATGAAAAGATCAAATTTGTTTGATGTTAATTGTCATTAATGAACCTTATGGAAAGTAACGCACAATGATATTGTCCTTATCCAGTTGGCATTCGTATTGTCATTCTTTAATTCGTCATTTCAAAACTAAAGTTTATTACTTAACCTGAATGATTTTAATAATTTATTCTAAAATTATATAGATTGTCGACAAAATCATAATGGGAACTTCCGCACTAATATCGGAAAGAAGGTATCATCATTGACGAGAAAAATATTTCAAATAACTTCACACGCAACCTCATATACACAAACGCATCTATTATATGACGAAGTACTCTAAGAATCTGTCACGTGTTTTTCACCTGTGAAATAATTCCATTTAATGAAACACGTAATGAAATATTCGATACTAACGAAATTATTCTATGTAAGGAAACATTTAATGAAATATTCGATATGGATTCCATTAAAGGAAACACTTAAAGAACTGTTCTATATGGACGAAATTATTCTATGTAAGGAAACACTTAATCTAATTTAAGGCATATACTTTCACGTCTGTAGTACAATATAAGACAATGAAACGATATAAATTATCAAGCTTGCTAAATTTGCGTTAACGCTACTTCGTGGTACATTTTGCATTTAAAACACGTGATATCAACAATTTCTGTGTTGAAAGCATGTTCCGTAGTGATGTAATAACGCAATTTCCGCAGTCATTACGTGGCATAGTAATAGTAATCGTCTGGACTCGAGCTGAAGGTGCTGCTGATATCCTGGACAATGGCCGTGAATTTAGGACGTGATGACTGTTTTTCACTCCAGCATTTCTTCATCAGCTCATAATGCCTACATCGTAATAATATACACATCGTATCAATTCGTATCTATATATGTTAACAGCTTCGTTAACTATATTGAATCTTTAATCCCATGAACTTGTTATTTATCACCAATTTGGCTAACAATTATTGTATAAACTGACGGCTTTTATATATTTCGTTATTGTCCTGGCTGGAGCTACTTCATAGACTGAATTTTATGCAAGCACCATGTTCTTATATTTAAAATTATTTGCGTGATACTTAATCTCGCAATATCTTTAATGATCTTTCAGGGGAAAAATAGTTGTTTAAATGTATGTATTTTTAGGTCATGACTTACAGGTCAGCACAATATTCGGGACGACTCATACGATATCCTTTTCTAACTTTGTTTGCCACATCCGTACTCCGCACACCGGGATACGGGGTTTCACCTACAAGAGAAACGAGATAGGATTTATTCTCAATCAAGTTATGTAAAACATGTTGATGTCTTTTTGTAGTGTATTTATTACATGTTACGTGTCAGGTCAAAGCAAGCCAGGGCAATTATATTATTTCAGCAAGCAGAATTAGTTGTAATTTGAACATTAGATATAACTTTAATATATTTCCACATATATTCTAAATAAACAAAATTTAAGAATGCTGTAATTGTATCAGACCTCGTTGTCTATCCCGATTGTATATTTTCCACTTGGCCTAAAAAACATCATGACTTGTTTTCTACAACAATGCCCCATCTATTTTGAATGAACATAACCAGATTGAACATTTCCAACATATTCCACTGTACAAATCCAGTATATCTCATAGCCGTCTTATATCTAGCTCGATTAACTATTTCCGGTGTGACATTACATAAATACCCAAATATTATATTATTAGACAAATATTTCTATGTAACAGAGCCTGTTATATATTCCAATGCTGCCGCTAGGATTTGAACCCGGGACTTCTGGTTCACTAGTCTGACGCTCAACCGAGCCAGCGGTGAACTGCGGCTGCTATTTTTCCATGGTTACATACTCCCCCTCTAGGGAATAACTCGTCCTCGACTTTCAATGGGTTACAGTGGTGATTGTGAAAGTAACACTAGGTATTATTCACGAGTCTTTATATGGAAGCCAATCTATTCAGCCATCTATAATACCGAAATATGCAGCAATACTTGATCTTAGCCAAATACTATATCTATCCAGACGAATATTTTCCCAAAATAACAAAACATTTCATGAATATTTATCCGACTATTCCAGGAATGTCTTTCCTACATGGTCACACAATACATTACCTACCCAGACTGAAGATTTCCCACATGACGATTCCATATGACCATACGTCACTCTTCAATGTTGCGTCCTTCACGGTAGTCATACATTCAGGAGCCATCCACTTGATCGCCACTTTACTCTGTAAATGAAATAACACCATATTTTACCTTCCACCCCGTTTATAAAACATTATAATCAAAATTAATACATCAGATTATTAGATTATATTTTCGGGTTAATGAATCGTCAATGGTCAAATCATTTCAGTCAGTAACTAATATCCTGGACAATGTTTTGCTCCACAGAATGTTTTTTGCATGTTCTCAACTAGTTAAACTATTGATAGCTTATATGACCTTTCCGTTATCGTTGTCTTGCTGCTCTGTTTCCCTTGTCGGGCCGAATCCTGCAACTTTTGCTCCCAGTGACGATGTCAGGAAAATATTTCTGGCGGCAAGGTGACGATGTATAATCTATATATAAGTCAAGAAAAACCCAAGATGGATAAAGGCCAAGATTGCTTATATAGTCTTGATTGTGTAGTGCAAATGGTAATAAATATAGTTAAGAAAGGGTATCACTTTATTGTTTTCTGATACATCTACAAGGTGAAGAATCGTTCAGCTAATTACCAAAATCAATAACATAGCATGTCCTTAACAGATACTGGCTAATAACAGGACGTAACGCAACAATAAACCATAATTATTTTTCCTATATCACAATTTCTGGAAAATAAGTCTATAGTTGACAGTTAACCGAATGATATAGGGTTTCCAGAGATGCAAGCTGATCAAGACTATGCAGGAGTTATAGGAAATTTATTTGTTCAGTTCTTGTTGATGTGCCTGATGGTTTCATTGTCCCCCATCAGCGATCATTTACTGGAATTGACCAAAATGTACATGGCATGTATCATTGGTGAAGTAGAAAACGTTTACCCTTCCGGAATACCTTGTTATATTCTTCTTGCACTTGTTCGCCAAGGTCTCCGTGTAATTCTTTATTTTTCAGTTACGATGTCTTAGTTTAACTGATTTTGAGCTTGAATTCAGAATGTTAAATATCGGTATCATTTTATTATTTTCAAAAGGTTTAAAGACTTTTAAATCCTGTGTAGGATCCTTAGGTAACATGGCGTTGCGTATGTCGCTTTAATGAAATTTAAACCTTTTTAGAGCTAAGATAGTCCATTCCTTGGGCGACGTCGAAAGTAATTCGGTACAAGGTGTCAATAACACTATCGCTGACTGTTGCTCGCAGATTTTGTAGCCACGTCCTCAACACCCCAACATCATAAAACTCCAAAAGCATAAATGGACCCACTGAAATAAAAACCAAGGAATTGAAAATGGACATTCTATAAATGTATTAAGGAACTACTGTAATAGATACCTAAAACTATATCAATTTTTATGTTTATTTCTATGGACAGGTATTTTATCTGATATTATTTGCTTTCATATCACATTTATAGGAATTTTGAACTATCTGAAAAATGTTATTTGATGAAGAAATGAATTCAACTGCTTTGTTAAGCATCATTAAGAACGGCTTTTGTGGTGGTCCCAACTATGTATTAGGGGTACATTGTCTAAAAGTAGATCTTGGTTTTTATACATCTTGTTATGATACGTATGTTTATATTTGGCTTTTCATGAAAGAATCAGGTAGAGTCGTAGAACCACATTATATACAATCTTGTAATGAAGCTCTACTAGCAAACTAGCTGTGACCCTTAGATCTGAAAACGTTTATTAAGGAATAAGTCCTTCGTGTGCCCCCTACTTATGACCTGATAAAACATTTAATCTACACAAGTGGTGTTTGCAGTCATGCTAATCGGCGAAATGTTTCATTTATTATTCAGCAAATTGTTCTGCAACACTTAATTTGTATCTAAATGTTCAGGTATTTTTATTTGTTTATAATTTACCATTCTTATTATTCGCAGTGCTTACATGCTTTGTTGTCAAGGACGGCTCCAACAAATTGGACAACATTAGGATGGGAATCAACCATTGTCGCAAAGAAATTTATCTTGGCGGTCATAACCATTTGGTCAAGCTCTGTATGTGCCTCTTGAATGAAAACATCAATATGTTGTTATATCAATATAGCCAATACATATTTACATTTTCATCACAATTATGTATTAAAATAAGAAAATAAGATATATATATACATAATCATGCAATTGAATGTACCGAGTGCCCTCTCATGTTTCACGAATGAGAGATTCTCTGACGAATCTGTTGCAGTTTAGTTCATCATTTGGTTGTACTTTATCTTATTCTTACAAACTATGCAAACTGTTATCTTCTTGTAGCTTTTATACATGTACTATCCTTCTAAAATGACATGCGATTTTTTAACTTCCACAAAAAAGTCCTTGAAGGACAAAAGAGCTTTACAGCACAACCTTATATACTAATTGAAATGCAAAGTATATGCCAGTCAATACATTTAGGTGTTTTTAAATTCTAAAAATAATTCAATAGGCGTATATTTTCCTCCAGCAGTGTCCCTCTAAGATTATTGATTTAGTCTTGATATGTTTTCTTTGTAGTAGACAAGTGTCATAATTCAACCTTACCTTTCAGTACCTTCGCAATAACTACCATTTTATTATTCTTTTTGGTTCTCTGCGAAGCCTTGTAGATGTCGGCAAACCGTCCAGATGTTATTTTCTCGACTAAGGACACCTTGTCATGGTTTACCTCCCATGATTGATTCTCGTTGAAAACCATTTGGCCATACAGGTATACATCCTCATCGCCGACATCCGAATATGCTAAGTTCTAGTAGGAAAATGTCGATGTTGATATAGTTACAACTGTTATCACAGTAAGGCGCTTTATTTTTTTTTTACTATCTATGTGAGGAAGCCATTTAGCATCCTACGAGTTGTTTCCAATAATGATATTTTATTTTCTTTCCATTTTCAAATAAGCCAAATCAAATTAACAGAATAAGATAAGAAATCGAAATCGTTGCACCATTTGCATCCACCAGATTTCAATGTCATGAACATTAAAAATGGTTACTTTCAACATGCCATACGACAGAAGTACCATATGATAATAACAAAGGGAATGCCACATTTATTTAATAATTTTCCTGAACAATATCATTTATATCTCACAAAGCAGTTTTAGGAATGTATTCTAATTGTAGTAATAAGGTTTACTATGTTAATAAAGGTAAATGTATCGATACTTTGTAACATGATTTCAGAAACTTTTATTACGCATGAGTTAAGGTATGAACAGGTCATTGCATCTTCAATTTCCTTTCCATAAAGCAAAAAGAATGCAAACCATTTCCCGTTTCAAAATAAGTAACCCAGACAGTTCTAAAAACAACTTTAAAAAAGAATGAAAGAAAGGAACCTACGTTTGAAAAAACCAAGTAGTAGTATTTGACAAATGTTTTTGTAATAAAAGCAACTTGTTTGTTTGTTGTTTTAAAGTTCTTGTATCTTTATGGCATTGTTCTGATAAAATATATATTTTCATATGTGCTTGAAAACGATTTTTTTAATACATTTCAGCTGGAACATGAGGACAGCATCGCCAGCTTCGATTCCTGGTATCACACACCCTTCAAGTGAGAAGAAACATGGGATTTGTTGCAAGCATATTGTGGCACGTGACGAAGCAGTCTGTGTTTATAACATGGACCTGTCTTGTAATAAAAAAAAAATACACTTAAAACGCAATGACCTTGTAAGACCGTGTGTGTCACGGGAATGCTGTAAACATAGTTACCGCGAATGACTTCCGCTCTAAATCTCGGTTCACTTCGGAGTTGTTGGTGCGTCGACGTTTGACTGTCCGTCTTTGAATGTGACCGTAGATAGATTCCTTGTATCGGCTGAGCCTCCCAGTCCTCCATAGCACTATGCCAACGATTAACAGAGCCACGAGAATCGCGATCACTAGGACAAATTGGGATGTTATGATATTGTTAATAAATGTTTGGTGTAAAGGTAATTTCTAGGAAAACACTTCGTTATCTGATATTGATATATACCATTAACTACCAGAAAAGTTTCATTTATAGTATTCTTTGAAACACTAGCTAAATATCAAGTATTGGAATTTTATCAACATACCTGTAGAAATCGCTGCAATAATACCTGTTGACAAGACTTCTTGCTTTCCTGAAAAAACGAAAAATATATTTTCAGCTTGCAATAAAAATATTTGTTTTAAATGTTCATATTCCAATCATGGATATCAGAAAGGTGATATTTCATTAGCATATCAATTTTTGATTACCAAAATTTACAAGAAAATGGAGAAATTTACCTGTGGTAAAAGTGACCTGAACTGGATCACTTTCCTCATCACCATACTGAATGACGAAATTGACGGTGTAGGTCGTTTCTGAATCAAGGTTCCCAAGTGTGTAGTATATGGAGTCCTTTTGGACTTGCATAGTCTGTGTCTGTCCAGAAACATTGTACCTCAAAAGTATTCCTGAACGGTCGTAACAGCTCGGTCCGAATTGCCATTGAAAGTTTGCAGTGTTGGATGTTGTGCCGGAAATCGTAAGGTCAATTGGGCCGTAATCTAAACATGTTCCATTTTTCCTTTTCAGTGCACTTAGAAACTATGTATATTCCCTCGTCTAATTTTATCATACTATCAAGGTGGAAACCATTTGCGAATTATCATATCATTATATATTTTTCTTCATAGAACACTAAGTCATTTGATATATAACATGAAAAATTACAATCCTTATTAGCGATATATTAAAACGGATATGTACTTAATGAGCCTGTTATTATTATTTCTTTTATGACAATTTCCTTCGTTCCACTATTGATATTACAGGTCACACGTATTACAATTTATGCAGTATGCATATTTATTGACCACACTGACCAAAACACTTACACTCTTCAATACCATCAAATGTACGCAAATCATCAATCTGAAAGTAAAAAAAGAAAAACAAAAGTTGTAGTTGGCATCTAAATTACTTACTAATAGGTAGCGGTTTAAAAAGATACCTTGACATTTGTGTTGGAGAAACCACATAAAACATTGCAGAAGTTCTGTTTTTTTCCTTGAACATTTTCAAATGTTTCTAGGAAGACTTACATGCTGTTTTGTTCTGTGTCATACCGGTATTGTATTGTATGTTGGACATTGGCAAATATAGGACAGAGAAGCGTTAACACAAACTGATTTCATCAATAGCGAATAATTGTAGTTATCAAAAACGTACAAACGGACCAGTTGAATGCTGTCCATCCAATATGACTGCGATGATTCTTACCTGGATTTGGACAGATGAGTTCAGCATGGCCAGATTGAAAACATCAATATAAACATCAATGACCTCGGTTGCCAGTCTATCCTTATGTACCTTCATCCAACAGTTGTTAATCTCAAATATATGGAGATAATAAAAACAACCACCGGCTGGGCTGCATACCCCCTCTTCCCTAGATGGTCTAGCCTGCCGATAGATATACATTTCAAATAATCAATGGTTTAATCATAATAGAATAGAAATTTGAGAGTATAAATCAATGGAATTGTATCAAACTTTCCAGACTAAATTCAGTTTATATCACTTCGGATGTGTAGGTTCCTTGTTTAATTACCTCTGTTCTGTTTCCTTGGTATTCACCCTCATGAAAAATTTCTTCAGAATCATTAGTCTTAATTTTCCATTTGAACATGGTTATACCACTTTGCTCATCGTATGCGTTAAATTGAATTCTGAAAAATAAAGCAAAACGAATTATTCAAGAAATAAATAAAAACGACTTTTATCCGATATCTGGTTGTACAACGGACGCCGTTGGACTGAAATACAACTCACCCACTCGAGAAAGGATATGATCCATTTTGTACGTTTCGGTTCAATTTTGGCGTTTCGACGTTTGGTGATGATGCGTCAACATTCATTAGTATTTGTTGTTCCACATTATTTTCCAATATATCAAATGCTTTCAATGATATTATCACGGTATCTCCATCCAAACGTGAAATATTAAGGGTAGCCTTCTCGTCTAAGAAACTATCAACATTAGTCCAGGGATGACGTCCTCCGTGATTCTTCAGTTCATAGGTTATTTGTAATTTGGTTATTCCATGCGTGTTGGGTATTTTCTTTAGAGTACGTTTTCCTTCGTGGTCATCTAAAACTGAAGATACATTCTTATGTCGAAAGTGCATTATTGTCTGTGGTTTGAAAGTAGCAACAGCATTTAAAAAATGATATTCCTCATGTTTCTTGTTCCGAAAATGGCCTTGCCAGCTAACCACTACTGGGTCGTGCAGATTATTGATCCAGCTATTGTTTACATCGCCTACAGCACCTTCTATCTTTATAGGATTAGCAGTTGTTGTGACGTTAGATTCATCGTCAAACAGCAGCATTCGACGACTGTATTTAGTGTTGTTTGCTTTGTCTCCAACCTCTAGTATAATCGAGTACATTCCGGGTGAAGGCGGTAGGTATGACGGGTCGGAGGAGTTAGAGAGACTGGTCAGGTAATATATAGGATTTGCCGGGTTAACCTCAGTCAGATCACCTGTCCTGTCTTGTTGCAAGGGATATACTTGTATTGTGTATACATCAACACCCGACAAAAGATCGCTCCATCCATCCCATGATATGTTTACCGGCTCCTGTGAATGCAATTATCTTAATATGTCAAGAAGATGCATATTTATATATAGTGTATATATTATTTTGAATTAGTTTCATGACAGTTGTTTGCATATTATTTCATAAATTTTCAAATCTAATTAAATTTAGATAATCCTGTTATATTATATGTTATGTATGCAATGTAAAATACATGTATGTGTAATGCATATCAGGACCTTCCAAGAAAGAGACGACGGTTTTCTCGTTTAGTGAAAATGATGAAGGTTTTTCAGATCTTGAACAATGGCAGAAATGTGTAAATGTACGCATTATCGATATTGAAAGTCAGTGGTTAACAATGGAAAATTTACTGTTAAACGGGATAGAAAATAAGGACACTTGTGTAAGTCATTAGTTTTGATGTTTTTAAAGACTCTTTTCATTTAACGTGATACCAGTATTAGATGTGACATCAAATCGATGCTGATATGATCTGTTTCATATATCAATTACCCGATAGCAAAAAAGGTCAACCGTTATATACAAAAGCAAACAAAATAAAAACACCTTTCTAGATAATGTTAGGATCAAATAGAATAATACGTGACAAATTGAATAAAAGATAAAAAGGCCTCACAGTGTTAAAACCTAACAAACCACAACTGAAAATGTCATAATGTCGAAAGAAAGATAAAAATCCAGAGAGAGGTCACAGGCATTATAATTCATTCGTTTTAATATTTTTCAAATAATTGATTATTTCAAAAATGTCATCAAGGTCTATAGTGTAATTTGAATAACGTCATTACAGTAAAGAATTAAAACGTGGCATTCAAGTTGTTCTAATAATTGAACTTGCTGGTTGTTGTAAAACTATAAAAAGAGCATACCTTTGTGACATCATGACTAAGATGCAGCGGCTTCTGACCTGTTGAACAGTTAGCTTTCTCCAAGCAGTGGTACGGTGGGTGGTAATCGAACTTGAACTCCATCTGTTTTGTTGATGTTTGTGATACATAACTTTCATGTGAGAAGTGCTTATGATTAGTTGTCGAATTGATGTCTCGGAATCCACCGCTTTGTGTTGATATCGTCACCACCATACTGTAAGGTACAAACTTGTTCTGAACGATTTCAAAATAATTGTCATGTCAAATCCATCGGCATGTCATAATCTATAAAACTATATTATACTGATATATTTTATATATTGTGTTATTTCTGGATAGAATGTTTATGTATACAGTCAAACTTTTATGAATTGAACTTCGATTATTCGATTTTCTCGATGTATTGAATGTTTTGTCCTGTCCCAATTTTTATTTTGTATATAACTACTAACTAACCCTTTATGAATCGATGTTTTATAAATAATACTTTCGATGTATCGAAGTTATTTCATGGACGATTTTACTCATACCAAAAGTGTCACTTTTCAATTTTAAGCCTAAAAGCATGGGGAACACTTATTTCTTTATTAGTCATACGCTCTCCTATTAATTCAGCCTAACCATCGTCAGAACATCGGCAAACGACCTTGTAATTTCTACGACCAAAGATGTGTGATGTTAGTGCTGTCGGTTCTGGACAGAATGTGTTGTGATATTAATTTGCATTCTTTTAATTTCATTAATATGTATAGCGTTTATGTATCAGTCTCAAAATAATTATTGCAACACGTGAATGCCACTTGAATTATGTGCCTCGTTTCATTTAAAGTTGATCCGTAAAATACAAATAATGTGTGACATGAAGGCACGAATGTAATCGTAAGCATGAATTGTCGATTACTCGTTGGTTTCGATTTAAAGTTATGTTTTAATTTTTCATGAATGATAGTGTTTTAAGATAAGAATGGTATCTTTTCATTTCAATATGTATTTTGGTATTTGTCATGCTTGTTCAGTAGAAATATTGTGTCATCAACTATAACCATGAGCATAAACACGTCTGTATTACGCGATATATCGAAGTTTTTTTTATAGTCCTTTGAATTTCGAAACATTTGACAAAATATATATTTATATTGCTATATAAATATGTAAAAAGAGAATACATGGTCATATAATATAAGCTGTAGGTGACGAAAGTCAAAGGTGATGAGCCTCTGGTGAGCCACTTTTGTGTTTGCTCTCCCTAGCCAAAAAGCAGCTTATATTTTAAGACACTGAACATGTATTCTATTCATCCTGCAACAATGACTGAAAATCAGACTAATGAAACTTAAACAGGTTTGTTGTTAATCTGTGTTTACCTGACATTGACATTAAGCTGAATTTTGCTTGATGATGGACTCCAAAACAATGCTCCGCCCAAAAACATAGTTCCAAACTTTATCGGATATTACAACGATTTCATGAATTTTCTTAAATCAATTTGTTCATTACAACTGGTAAATTTGCTTATTTCAACAATTATTTTTATTTCTAAACGTAATATTTAATTAAATTCAGCGAGTAATTCTGTCGAATTACCGCATGTGTTAAAATACAGCTGTTTTCCGTCACTGCCGAATACAGCAAAATATATGCGGCATGTGCATTCTAACAATGGCAGTGCCAGTTGTAGGATAAAGGGATTTATATTCGTGATTGGATTTTGTCATTTTCCGCTTTCCCATATGTTATATATTGTGAATATTACTTCGATTACGGCACTTTAGTTGAACATGCAAAATTCATTACCGAACGAGGGTGTATGTGTGTGTGTATCTGTATTTGGGTGTCTGTGTGTGGTGGGGGTGTGGTAGGGTGAGTGTGGATGGGTGGGTGGGGTTTGAGGATAAATAAGTAAGAAATTTATCGATCACAGATCTTCAGATGAAATGCAAAGTCAAATACACTTCTGTTTATCTTCAGTCTAGAACCGCTTAACCTCGTCCTCTCGTTCGTTAATAATCAATAATTGAACTGCACTATGCATTAAAGATGATTTAAATATACTTACATATCTCCATTCTCTAGTAACCAGTCAAAATTATTGTCAGTTATGTTACATTTGAACACGGTCACAGGTTGAGATGGGCTTGGATTGTCTGAACAAGTATAATTCTTCGATTTTCTATACACCGTAGATGATCCTGTGAAAATAAAATAAAAAAAAAACATAGTACCGTACTAATGTTACGGCCTATCCTACCCGAAGAGTAGGGTTGTTTCCAGCGATGTCCTTCTTGATAAATGAATAGTTTCATTTATGTCAACATTAATGTTGACGAATCGTGAAAGATAATGCATTGCTTTGGTTCCTCAATCAAGAACATGTTACTTTGTCTTTGTTAAAAGTAACTTTAGGTATCATGTTGACAAATGTTTTATTTTATATTGTTGGATAGGTCTAACGTTATCGTGTTTACCGATGCATATGGACACCTCTTATGGTGATTATTGTCAATGTGTCCACTATTCCGTTGCTTTGTTGAGTGTATGATCAATGGGATGTTTGTTTATTTGACAATACCTTATTTGTAAAGAATAGTTTTATCCAATATATTGCTCGTGAAATGTTCTTACCCTGCTGCTGAATTTTTGAAAGCCTCAAATGTGCTCAACTATCCACAACGCCAAGGCTGTAATTTTCGATGTAATTACCGTTTTCCTGGAGCGGGGACTGGTTGTAAATTGATTCGAAGTAGATATTGATAATGTTGAAATCATGTTTCATAACCCATATTGTATCCACATAATTACTATTTGGTGACGTAGAATCAGCCAATATTTTGCCGAATATTTTCCCGCTCGATCTCTCCTTGGTGATTAGGTATGTGCTTGCTCTAAGGATTGTTGGCGATTGGGAAGACAGCACTGCAATGAATAGAAACAGTGCCTAAACAAATCTTACGACATGCAAGAAAAGCTAAAAACATTTAAATCATGACAGATATGAGCCCTAAAAGATTTGAACACGGACAGCATAAAACAGAAGAAATTATCGAACACAGATAAAGAAAGAAGAGAATGAAAACAAGCGTTATTAAAATGCAAAAATGCAAACGCATGTTAAGTAATAGAAATAAATAATATCAAAACGAGGCCAGATAATATGATACTGAAAGTAAGACCCGGAAGTGAAATTTATATTCTGTACGCGTAAGATGATATATTTCCAAACATTTTATAAACATTCAATACAATTGAAATTTATAATTTTGTTAATCAAAGCGCACTACTATACGAAAGTTCGTATCGATCCCTTGAATATAAGGATACTTACTTTGTAAACATGTGGGGCCATCGAAACCAGACTGGCATTTACATTTGTTTGGAAGTTTACAAATTCCAGGAAAGCAGGGTTGCAAGTGAGAACATATTTCTGTAATAAAACCATATAACAATGCTAGACGACAATGTGTTACATTATCAATAATGGTATCGGCTTATTTCCCTTTAAAATTTGTTCTTTGGTGTTTCAATGACTATCATTGGTTAACTGTGTACAACAACCATTAAAAACCTTTTTCATTTTGCTTTCACAAGATATACAAACTATATAATGTACATTCTAAGCTATTGTTTAAGCAAAAAAAGTGTTTATAATAACTTGATCACAGTTAGAAAGTGTCAAAATACGAAACCGAAATTTGTAGACTAAATAATCTCACTGGAGGATAACCAAGTTTTTTTCTTTTATTGAATTAGATAATGAAAAAATATCAAATTATGTAATATTTGTTTTAACTGATTTGATCAGACTAAACACCTGTTTGACAAGTAACTCCACCATGCGCATTATCACACTGACACCTGTTTGGAGCCACACATGTCCCGCCATCACAAGGCGGATTGCATATAGCTGTAACAGACAAATACACAGTAGTATTAAAACAAATCTGTTGGATGGAGGTACGTATATCTGTATTAAACAGATATTTGATTTAATAAAAAAAGTCGTGTTTTCGATGATTGCAGTGTGCTACAGTATGATCAATTACCTTTGATATCTGGTGACCACCATTGACCACGATCGGATTCTGACTGCAGCCTTTCAGCTTTGTTGTTTTCTGATATTTTTTTACACATTTTTAGCACCAATGCTATATTCCTTAGTGAATATATGTTACAAAAAATGATACCTGAAGACTCGAAATATGTCAGGAATATGTTTCTTTTTAGTTCTTATCTGTTTTACTTTAATAGTTAATTATCTTTCTAAGCTATAGTTATTATATCAAAGTTTTATTCTAATCTGCAGACGTATTTTGTATGTGAAGAATCACAAAGGACGAGTCTTTATACTTACGAACTGAACAATGTGGGCTTGTGTATCCGTTACAGCAGCGACTCATTCGAGTATAGTAGGTTCTTGTTACACTTTTTCTACCCCACCTATAAAATAATTTCAAATATCAATTAAGAACCAAGACCATTTTGATATCACTTTTCTACGCAGTATTTATTTCTTGCAATATGTAAATTAGTGTGTTGAATTTATTTCAATATTGTGTTTGCTGATGATAAACAATATTCACTAAGTTATGTTATGTTGTTAGATGTTTTTGACGTTTCCCAGTGCTTACCATCCAGATTTGACATGGTCTATTCTGTAGTTCAGCCTTTGATAATAGGTATAGCATGATATCCTGATAAAACATAGAAAACAAAGATAAAGTTTATGATTATACGTTACAATTTTTTGAAAAACCTATTACATAATGCAAAGTTGGTAGGGATGTTATTTTGCTATAAATATTTCTTATGCTCATTTTTTGCCCTTCTTTCATCGATTATAAGTGTGAATTCTGCTCACATATTCTTATGATCTTTAAAAAAGTCCGACAAATTGACATAATGTTAATTTAAACTATAATTCCATGAAACTTTGTCAAAATAAAAACAAAAGAAAGATCTACACACACATCTTGACGAAGTACAAGAATCAGACTAGTAGCAATTAGAAAACGTCTCAAGAAGAATTGGTAGCCATTGGTTTCTTAAATAAAAACATTCCCGTTTCGACATGTTCGTAAAAAGATAACCTAGTTAGAAATACGTAGTAAGGAAGGACATATTGCCATGGCGACTAATGTTATCATAATGACATTTACATTTCGTTCGGTGCCTCTTTATTAAAAAGCTTGCTGTGGATTTTGTCTACAATGAAGCCATTCTATCAGCATGGTAAGAATAATGAAATGTTTCCAGATCAATAATATATACATCTAACTATGTTCTTAATTTGTGTAACTGTTTTCTTATCTATCGATGACAATTTTGATGAATTGACGTATTTAAATAGTCTTTTAGGGGAATCAAATATTTCAAATGATCGGAATAAGTTGCATATTCACACAAGACATTTAAGCAGACAAGAGCAGGCCTGATCTTCATCTTTTTTAACAGTATATAGTTAGATACAGAGTACTTGGCAAAACCAATGTGCGCTACATGAACAGATACCCTTACAATCTGGCGCGATTCCAATAATGTAATTGACCCGCTATGAAAATGTTTTCAAAGTGCGTTGAGCTGGACCCAAATTAACGTGATTTGATTTTTTTTCAAAGTGCGTATTTTTGCAAAGTGAGTTGTAAAACTGCACATATCGCAATGACATTAAGGTGAAAAAACTTACCCATTGCAAACGTCAGTCAGAAAGTATGCAATAACAAGACTGAAAACAAGCCGAGTTGCCATACTTGTCTACTGTTGATGCAGGCTCTATAGACAAAAAGTGACACACTCACTAGCTATTAATTCAGAGTTCAGGCTATATCGACAATGTTTTTCCTTATATAATGGCATAGCCACTAGCTGTTGAATCACTTACGTAATACGCATATCTCATATGATATTGATAAGTACTTCCTCAATGATAAAAAAAGACGATAATACGTAAATCCACATAACAAAATATTTGTACTTTGTGCGAACTATTATACTGTGTCTACCCTTTTAGATTTCCTACCACAAATACCTTTCCCCTATCCACTCCTGTTTTCTTTTCACTCTCTTGAATACGTTGCCGTCGTATTATCAATATTATTATCTTTACATATATTGATATTTCAGTTGCATTCTAGGAATTCGACCGAATTTACATTGATCTGGGCGTAATTTAGGAGAACCTTGACACATGTTTGATGCTAAACTGTCATTTAAAGCAACCAAATTTGCTCCAGATTTGCATAATTTAAATTGATAAAGATAATATCGTATATGGAAAAGTATCAAATTAATCAAATTTCAACATGAACAGTTTCGCAGATCATTAAATTTGTCTGAAGAGCTATTCAATACACACCACATGAATTCGACTAAAGCAAGATTCAATGGTTACATATATGTAAATGAAGACATACATACATGTATGATTGTGCCTCACCATGACAGCTGCTCTAAATGCAAGTCTGTTGTTTGAAGAAAATAAATAAACATGTTCGTACCTCTTACTGAATTATCTCTATATTGCTCGACGTTCATGCATATGCTGAATTGGTTTGATAAATATTGTTTACACCAAATTATCTATTTTTTTTTATTAGCTGTTAACGTTTCTCACATTTTCAAGCTTGATTCAAAAATGACGCATATTTTGTTTTGAAGAAGTTCTTAAATGGAATATTTCTTTATGAATTAAGGTATTTTTCTTTCGCAGTTTCATAAAATTCTTCAAATAACTCAAAAAAAATCCCGTGTAAATAGCAACCTATATATAAAGTTCCGTCCTGAAAATTATTGCCATAACCCCCCTCCAAAAAAAAGGGGGTCTTCACAGACCAAGCCTGTGGTAGATTCTGATATGTTCGTTATGTTTAGACACAATCGCAAATAACATGCTTTATTGGTTTATTTGGATTTTTTGTTGTTTGTTTTGTATTACATGCATTATCAGGGACTAAAATATGAGCGCGTGATATTATTATGCGTATTAAGGTTAAAAGAAATATCGCATTCTTGTTTTGAAACGTGGCTTTAGATGTTAAATAACCATCAGATAACAACTATTGCAGTGCTGATAAACATCCTCGACCATTAGGATAAACTTCCCCCTGAACACTTAAACGTACATTTAATCAACAAATCTGATACCAATTATCTACCGTTTGATGTAAGTTTGACATTTGGTCTGTGTGTGGATTTATCTGCATCGTGACTCGATAATATTACATGTAATCAACAAAGTCGTGCTTTTGTATATAAATTTTGACATTTATTTGAGCGAAATAAGTTTAACATATTTCAATGTTTAATTTCTGTCAAAAAATAGTTGTGATAATACTGTTGGTCGTTTGGAAAAGTGATGAAATGTCTCATAATGACTATGGACGCTACAGCATACCAAAAACGAGATATTACTTAATTGTAATACTAAATGCTATAACAAATGGAACCGGCTGCTGTTCATTGTAAGACGTACAAGGAGTATGGACGTAAAGTTAAGATTCAAGATACAAATGCACTGCTTCTTTCCAATATCAAATCTTTATCAATTATGAGAATAAACTGTTAGTGTATTTTTAACTTTAGGATTTGGTGCGTTAAGGGAGTTCTAAGTACCTTTTCGTGACGTCAAGAGTACTGTCACGTGGCAGACGAACAACCCGACTTTTACAAAGGTTTATGGCAACCTTTAATCTGTACAACTAAACTGCAATGGCAATACAAATCCTATATAAAGTGTTTACAGAACCGTCCTGTTCTGATGACGGGAGATTTTACATTTCGGAACTGGTTTACGCCTTTAGCAAATTTGTTAAAGCTAGCCGTGCATATTGGTCAGTACATTGGTTCGGCCATTTATCAAGAACAACACCCAACCAATATCGAATACATGTTCACAGCGCTAAGGAAGCAGCACTACGACCTTTCAAACGTTCGCCAACCTTGTAATACTTACAGATATGTTCAATCTTTTCCGCTGGTGTAACATTAAACAGGTAAAAACTTGACGTATTCGTCAATGCTACCCCAGAGTACTTCAATGATAAGACCATTACATGATTTGTTTTTATTTCAACAAAGCTAAATGACATTAAGAGTTTATTCCCATGAACGATCGAAGTATGAATAGATGTACATAGCCTGTTTTTATAGCATGATATATATATAACTGTCCATCGGGTTCCTTTCCGTGTTTTATCTTATTTTATTCAGATTTATAGGGGTTATTTCCCTTTTATAACGCCTTTATGCCAGTAAACATATCTGTCATTGAAATCGAGTTATCGCCTTGCCTTTCTCCGATATCCATTTTTCATGTGAAATTATCTAAAAAAAAAAAGTATACGGAAACAAGCGATGCTCCCGAATTATTTGCTCTTTATTACATCAACTTTCGGTTACGAAGTCAAACATGTTAAACAGCGTCGTGGGGAAAAAAGAGAGACAGGTAATACAATTGTAATATTAGTTTATTACGGTGAAGTAATTAATGATACATGTGGATTGAAAGTCGTTTTTAAAATTTCATGATGCTACGAATGTTCAATAGTTACATCAATATGGTATGAAGTCCGCTAGGTCTTCATGCTAGATACACTATCTTGTTTCTGTAAGGTTTTTTTTTTTTTTTTTGTTAAATAAAAACATGTAAAAAATATGAATAACCTTAAAAATAAAACCCCGATCATCAATATCATTCTCACTGCTAAATGTCAAGTTGGTGGTACAGTGTGGCAACGCCAGCTAGCTGGGACCGGTTCCGATGTTTGCGTATTAACTAGGATCTGCAGTGAAAGCTACATCCATGAAACCTGTTATTTGATAGTGTAAATTGTATATCATCTCAACTCATTTCATCCTCACCGAATCCATCCTCGACCATTATACACAGGTAAGATATCCCGAAAGTACTGTATTCATTTATTTGCAAAGGCCGGGGTCCGTCCAGATGGATGTTGAAACGGATGACAGAAGTGATGAAATTTCGTGAACACACAAAAACTGTCCCTTGAGCTTAATATATGTTTTATCTGTTGCACGTTTCAAACATTCTTTTATGTATTACTTTTGTTTTTACATTATTTCTCACTATACGAAAGACAAGATATAGTTGGAGGATTCCCATTTAAGCCAAGCTT